GTACGGTAAGATCGCCCCCTCCTGTCATATGTAGTATCTGTTTGACACAAGTAGGAGGAAAGGGCTGTCTCTAAGAGCTGCGGGCTGGGGATTTCCCTTGCTGCTATGAGCGTGAACCCCAGCTACACTCATAGAAGGCAAAAGGAAAATAGAACCAAAACAACTTCCTAGCTGTACAATTCCCCTCCTACTAGTCACATACCGTGTGGCACAAAATTTTTGAGGGTTCTGATTTTTGCGATTTTTCCAGTGATCCGCAATAAATAAGTTCCTGCAAATAAAAATTACCACAAACATTTTTCCCGCAAACATTTACTCCAGAGTAAACATTCTCCAATGTAAATTTGCTACACAAAACTACAGTACTAAGAAATCGTGTCCGTTCAATTACATCTTGTCTCTTTCATTCAGGAACAAAGCGGTATACAATGAAATACTGGTTTTACATAGAATAGGGTATGCACACCATAGTATTGTTTAAAAATATGTATCTGTATTGCATGTACTCAATAAATTCCAAAAATAATATTGTCAATACTGGGTACTGGGTACTTTCTGAAAATCACAAACATTAATTCCTAGCAAGGAAAACCAATCTGTCCTAATCGCAAAAACTAGCTCCCACAAAACACAAACAATCGCTAATCTGCAAAAATTTAGTGTCACACGGTATACCCGGCAACTTGAAATGTTAGTGACAGCCCTGGGAGAGTTTCAGTGGGGTTAACCATTGGCCATCAAGTGGCCTAAAATTTAACTCTCAGCTGTCAAAAAAAAAAAATAAATTTTTTACCATCAACTGTCTAAAATGCAGATTAATATCAACTGTCAAAAAGTTTCAAGTTGCTTCAAATCTGACTATTTTGTTTGGTTTTTGTGGACTTGTGGCTCCTGGAGAATTTCAAAACTGGAAAAACCAGTTCCCATGTTCTCAGAAACATTCTCTCTAGACATTACAAGACCTAACATTATGGTAGCCCACTTTTTCTGTTGTCCAAACTGAGATATGTTTTCTCTACACAGAAATATTGTTGTATTTGATAACATCATCACTTCCTGTTTATAGTAGCTTGCCTCTGCAACAAGCAGAATGCCAGCCATTTTGAGTTGGCCATGCACCATTGTTCGTACAATCATGAAAAGGTCTTGAATTTTAGTAGTTGTCTTGAAATGTCCTTGAATTCGGTTAAGGTCCTTGAAAAGTACTTGATTTCTTTCTTAGGTGTTGAAAAGTCCTGGAAATTCACTACCTTGGTTATGCTACACCATTTTCTGTGAAATTAGATCATTTTGCCAAAGAAATTGTGGCTCATCCTCTGTGCAAAAACCTGTAAAACTCATGGGTAATGTAAAAAGATTTTTGGGCATGAACAATATTCTATTTCTGTATCTTTACATACCCAGTGACTGTTGACATTTTGTAAAGTGTTTTTGTGGAACCTAGTGTAAAACTCGTGAATGGCTCCATTAAGTGTTTTAGCCAATAAGGTATTCAAAGGGGGGGGGTTAAAGAATGAATTTTAGTCCTTGAAAACTGTAGTTTGTCCTTAAAGTCTTTTAAAAGTCCTTGAAATTTGTTTGTCTGAGGTCATACAAACCATGATGCACTTACTTTAGCCAAACAGTCATTATGCCAATCATCTATTGCATCACCCAGTCAAACAGGCAGTTAGCTGTTCACTGGCCAACAGCCCAATTGCCTTCTATTTATATTTTTAATGTGCAGTGTGATAGCTACCTTAATACCAGCAAAAGAAATAGTACTCACTGCAATATATTTGCTCTAGGGTTCAACGCCAATTGACATGGCAGAACCTGATATGGTTAAAATGCTCGAAGAGCTTAAGAAAAGGCAAAATGATAAGCCAAAGATCAATGCGGTGAGTATGTGCAGGTCGCTTTGGGTCTGGTTATTGCTCATTGAAACACTTAGACAATTAAAACCCTTTCATGCCCAGTAATGGAATATGCCACCAGATATCATCACACTCAATCAATACTTGAGCCTTTTGTTTAAATTTCCCCACCTAAAAGGTCAGCTAATTGAAGGAATGCAATAGTGTACCCTTCCTACATAAGACTTGATTTACCACTCATTGCAGCTTGTGGAACTTTCTGTCTTTGGATTTTATTGGTAATGATGATATCTGATGACAAACAATGCTCTCAAGCTTTGAATTAGGGTTATAGTTATATCCTAGAGAAAGAATTTTTATTTTGTACTTTGGACAATCTTTTCAGTGACTTCCTTTACACCTGTTTGTGTTAGTTATAGCTCGCTCCAATAAATACCGTTAAAAGGGAATATCATTTTGTGGTCTAATGGTTCATAGTTCTGACTGTAAGGAAACTTTTGCATTTAAGGGTTAGGAAGGCTACTGTAAGGCGTTGTTGCATTGTCTCATGATGATAAAAATGAAGAATGCCTCACGTTTTCCATGGTTATAACACCAAATCATTGTTACATTACATTCTATGGCCGATTATTGACCCAACGGTGGTCATAATTTGTTGCATTGCTTCTGTTTCAAGTTATGTTGTGGGCAATGCATCTCTCAAGTTGTTTTTAACTGTTTAACAATTATTCCTCAAGCCTGAATGGGCTCCGAGTCGGCCGAATGGGCTATTGACACAGAGATCATGAGGGTGAGAGGAATAATTGTTTTAGTAAAATCCAGCTAGTTGGTCAAAAATATCAGGAGTAAAAAACTTTTAGCTAGTTAAAGCTAGACTTTAATCCTTTTTTGCCGCCAAAAAGCCTGCGCTTTTCCCTACTAGTGAGCTATAACATATAGCCTAGTAGTTGCTCAACCAATCAGAATGCAGCATTGATAATAGACCCCTTGTTGGATTTTACTAAAATATTATACAGGACCTTCCCAAAGTGCCATGCATGAATCCAAACCAAAAGACTTCAGGGTTCAATGGTACAGTGTTTTACACGCCTGTTGAAGAAGAAAAACGAAGAGAAAATTGGACCCCATCTTAGGGTGCCTTCCATTTCTCAGAACCAACCGGCCAGGACATTCCCATCGTAATGAGAATTTTACTTTTAATCAAAGCTATCTAGCCAGATGAGTCAAATCCTAAACAGTATGCATGAAGGAAATCGTTTTTCATCAAAAACTCTTGGATAAAGCCTTTTTTATTTTCAAAATGGCTGGTCCGGGTGGCCAGTTCTGACTTTTAGAAAGCACCCCTAGTAACCATTTTTATTTTTACAGAGTTGAATTTTAACTCTTTCAACCCTAAGATCAGAATTAAAATTCTCGTTTGTCGCCCCTATTCATTTACTATAGAAGTAGTGGGGAGAAGTTGATAAAATATAAAGAAAATACATCTTGTGTGATCATGTCCTTAATTCTCTTGACCACTCTGTTTTACGAAGCATTGCTATTACAAGGAGAAATTTGATGCTGATCACTGTTAGGGTTTAAAGGGTTAAATAAGATGGAAGGAAAGGTATAAAGAGTGGAGAGTATACCATATAATTATTATTCTTTCCAGGCACAAACATGTGCACTCCTTGATAAGGTGATCATATTGAAATACTAATTACTCTCTGTAAAAGATGGGCTAGAGAAGTCAAAAACAGTTAAAGCTATGAGACTTGTTTGGAAGGCAGAGATAGGGTGTGCGGCTTGTGGCTGCATCTGGGGACGAGTTGTTGGCATGGTTAGGAAGTGTAGATTTGCAGCAATTGGGGAGCTTGAGCAAAGACATTTTTTAGTGATGCACATCAACTGGACTCTTCGCATTCTTGGGAAGTGTTTTGGCCCAAATTTCGGGCAAATCGTCTCTGTAACAGTGAAAAGGCTTAGAAGTACGAATTTGGTGCTGTCAAGGCATTACACAGAAAAAGGCCTCACTTCTGATTGACGTACATTACTCAAAAGCCCTTTTCTTAAGTTCCTTACTAACATGTACATCTCCACGACTTGGCACAGGATGTGGCATACAACTTTTTTTTGTTGAACTTGTTTTGTTTCCATATTTTTTGTCCCATTCAGTCAACGACACCAGTTATTAAAAGTAATATGGAGTCTGGGCCAGCCCCATTGAAAAGACGGTAAGTGCGGTTTTAAGGTTTTTTTTCCTCAGTTGTTTGATTTTGTATTTGCCACAGTGTTGTGTGCAGTTTGTCCATTAGTGAGTATATGCGGCATGCTGTACAGAACAGCTAACATGGTCACCACTTGAGGCAAGCTTGTCTTTGTTGATTTTTAAATATGTTGCATGTTACGTTTCTGCGATGTTCATCAACAAGCACCGAGCATATGCTACCTACCATGTTTCCTTGAATAGGTGTATTGGTGCCCATTTAAAACTTACGCAAAATTGGGGTCAGTTATTCAAAAAAATTATGCATGACTGAGGGGAGCACTTAGTTTTTTTTTATTTTAACAAACTAATGAAGAAAACCTGTTTTCCTTTATAATGATAGTGTAGTGAAAGTTTTAAATAATTACTATTGTCAGTATATTGAAAAAGTGAGGGGTTAAGGGGGAAGGGGAGGGGCACTCATTGAGTTGAGCTGCGGGGGATATTCATGTGCTATTTTGGCAATGGGATAAGTTGTTTCTTGGGGGGAGCGCACTTATTATTTTATTAGAACATAGGAATTTATTCAAGGAAATATGCTAAGCTTTTTATCATACAGACTCCGCATCACCACAGGAGAGTATTGCGTTGTCTCACTCTAAGATTTCACCAACAGACTTAGGTTATCACCACCACCAAGTTCATTAATTTAGCATTACTACAGGAAGAACTGCTCGGTAAGCGTTTTTGAAAGCTCACAAAGAACCACTTGATAAACTGAATCACAGGAAAGTGCTGCTTAGCAGCCTTCGCTTCATTTCATCCTTGGACGCTCAAGTTGTAAGCGCCTTGTACACAATAAACAGACAGCAAGGCAGTGAGCAGGGTATAGATAGATGTATTAGCAGATGCACTTAGGGTGCGTCCCGCTGGGATGATCTTGATCAGCATAGCACATCAAATGAACCGACAAATCCACCCTGGAATGGGATTCATCTGTTGATTTGATGTACCATGAACTGAGTGATCTCAGATCACTGCTCCTGATCCATATCATCCCAAAGGAACACACCCTTAGTTCCACTCGTATATTATACACGACTTTGCCTTAACCTTCTCACCTCATACGTACGTAGCGTTTGTGTTGAATGTTAAATTTTGTGGCCTTCTTACAAAGTGCGTAACTGATTTGACTTGACCTAACAGCACGTGTTTGTGAAATAAGTGTTTTCTTGGTAATAAACTGAGTTTGCATTACATGTGTGTCAGTTCACAAGAGCTCTCGTGCGCTGTTAAAATTCATTCTTGCTGGGAAGGTGTTTATGTTCCCTTTTAACCTTCATTCTTCTTTCTTTTCAGTCTTTCTGGTTCATCTAGAGCTCGGTTGCTGCGTACTTTACCCTCTACTAACACTCCAGGACTTCTGTATGTAAAGTAAACTGATGCTAACAATGTATACTAACGCTTACATCTCATCCAACGCTAAGATCTCTCTCTCTTTCTCTTTTAATAAACGTACTTTCAAACTTGCTCGCACTTTCTGCTTTTCTTTTGTTCTTGCTGTGTTAGTATCTTCATAATGTAAGACGCTCAACCCTCTGGTTGTCTAAAGGGGCTTCTCGGTTTTCCTGTTGTATCTTCTTTTCTTTTCCTTGCGGACTGGCACGCAACGGAACAAAAGCAAAACCAAAACAAACTAACTGATGACAGTTTCGTATCGTGGCGTGAACATAGCGTCGTCAAATTTCACCGCTCATAACCATGTTTTGAGACAATTGGTCTATCGTAACGTTTCAGCGTCACTCCGGTAGTTTGCCTGTGTTTGCAGCTGGCTCTCATGGCTCGTAGTGCCTTTTTAGGCTATAAGAGAAGCCTGAGAGCTGGCTTTAATCGCAGGCTGCATGAACACGGTTGTCGGTCGGACACCGAGCTTAAACTGATCCTTCTGTGAGCTCAGCAGAGGGACGAGTTGAATGCTCGGTGGGGGCTATGCCAGTGCCAGTCCTGCAACACTTCTATTCAATGCAACCTCTGTGGCTTCTTCATTTCTCAGGAGCTCCATAACCAGAATAAAGGACCAAAACCTTTTTCTCAGGGACATCAATCAGGAGAGGGCGCAGATGGAAGCAAGCAGGGAGCAGATATCCCCCAAGAGTAAGCTCTCCCGGCCACCAAGCTTCACTGAATCGCCCAAAGAGGACAAGGAAAACGAGAGGGAGAAGAGGGATGGCTACAGCAAGGAGGACAGCGGATCAGAGTCTGATACTGAGGACAGCTCTGAAGAGGACAGTGAAGAAGACTCGGAGGAGGAGGAGCAACCTTCTAAGCCGTCCGTGAACTCTGTTACTCCCAGAGCAAATGTCACGGTCAATTCTCTACCCTCTAAACCTACGGTAAATTCAGTTAAAAAACAACCAGCGGATGAATCCGAGGAAGAATCCGAAGAAGAAACTGGTTCCGAAACTGAAGAGTCCTCCGAAGAGGAGGAGGAGGAGGAGGAAGTAGAACCTGTCAAACCCGATACGCGAACAAGCGCAACCAGTTCTACAAGAACGCCTTATTCGCGTGATCAGACCGCGCCTGCTAGTGCGTCAAAACCAGGGGTAGGAAGCACGTCGAGGCTTCTAAAATCCCCATTTTTAGACAATGATAAGAAGGCAAATCCGCCATCTTCACCTGTTTCAAAAACTGAATCCTCTTGGACTTCTAGTTTAGCTGGTAGGGAAGAAACCAGGGACGATGCAAAGTCACGGTTGGGAAATTATCCAACGCGTACGACGGCCTCTACAACGAGTAACTCCACCAGCACTACTACTACTAGCACGAGGGGTAGAATAAGCTCTACCCCGAGCGAGGACGCTCGAACTAGGACAACAAGGTCCAAGAGGGTCACTCAGAGAGCCGCTACATCCTATGTAGGGAGCAAGAGAGAAGGGGACGATGATCAAGAGGAGGAGGAAGACAGGAAAAGCAATGATATCACTCATCGGAGAACTGGTGGAGACGACGAACGAAAGGTAATACAGTGAAACCCCGCGTATAAGAACCTGGATTTTTTAATTTAGCCTTAACAGGTTCTTATATAAATGGTACCTAAAGCAAATTTAGACCACCAAGGTTCTTAAAATAGGTTCTTATATTTTCATATGAATTTTATTTAAGTGTATTATAAATATCATCTCATAATACAATATAAATCATTTATACCATGATGCCTAAAGGCAGTACAGTGCTGGTATGTCCTTAACACAACATAACAAACAAACTCATGGTCAGTTCTCTGAATGCCATTTCAAAGTTAATACACTTTTATAGCAACTCCTCTGATAAGAACCTAACTTCAAATTTTAACCTTAATGGGTTCTTATGAGGAGGGGGCTTTCGCGTGGTTATGCCCAGCATTCTTGCATAGACGAGGCGAGATCTGCGATCTCCGAAGGCGCGAGTATAAAGGGATTTAGGAGCTTGCCTTTCTGAAAATGGCTGAAAGAACCCAGCACGAAGGAAAACTGAACGCGCCAATGAATTACATGATCGATGTTGCCAGTTACTGGGCATGCGCATGGCAAAGACCACTGACCTCAGGCACTTAAGGCGCTCTTAGTTTTTAACTCCTTTAAATTGCATTTAAATGCATAAAATTTTGACTCTGGGAGCTTGGAGACGCTATTTTCATTTCTTCCAAAAAATATATATATATATTTTGTTCAACTAAGATGATAATTTTTTTCGAAATTGCGGGTTAAAATCTAAAGAAGGCAAGTGCCTTGTCATGCCTTTTGCCAGCTATGGCCTTACTTCGGCTTACTTAAGAACGCGTCGAGGTTAGGATGGGCCCAAATTTTCGTCTTTGGTACCGGTACCAGTGTGCGTACGCTGATTCCATGTCAGTGGTGGCCAAATGCTCATACTCTTTCTATGAGTGTATGGTGTCGATTCATATGGTGTTTATTTACCCTGTTGAGGTCCTGTTCAAAATCCCTTATTTGCCGTGTGATAGCTGTAATTTTTTATGTTATATTTTTCTTCGAGACGTACACTGTTTGGGCCAGTATGTCTACCAATTCTCCTTCCTAGACAGATTACCGCCTTATAGAGAAATCTGATCAGGGTGCAAAGAAAGTCAGTTTTACAGCCTGCCATTCGGGCAAACTGTAGCTAACATGTACTAGCCCACAAGTCATTTCAACTAGCCCAAAACCCTTTTTGATTAGCAGGATTGATTGCAATCCTTCTGTAACTCGAATTTCTCCAAAAAACAGCAGTTGGCCGTCGGGCAAGTTAAGAACAAAAATCACTAGCCCGATAGCAAAATCCACTAGCCCTAGGCTATCGGACACGACTTTCTTTGCACGCTGCTGATAAAGGTAGGGGCAAGGGTGGCAAGGCTCCTGGTGACCATTTTAGAGAGGTGTGCATTAGAGAAGAGTTAGAGCCAAGACCACGGTCTAAAGAGAGAAATTTGCTATACTATTGCTGCAAACTGCCAACAAAATTTTTCTCGGCCGCGAAGCGTTTTCAGCGGAAAAACGAAAAAAAAAGCTCACTATGTTGAGAAAAATGGAAAGCTGTTGCAGTGACTGTTTTATACATGGTTTTTCTTAACGTTGAATAAAACCCAACGAAATACTAAAGCACCTTAGGTGTCTCACCACCGAAGGGGAGGTGTTCACTTACAGGTTGTTGCCCTCTCTAAACGGATACCTGGAGCAGTCACTTTTTTGGCTGTTTATAAGACCGGTACCAGCCTTAAGTTTACTCTTACAGTGGGTGTCTTCAGTTCTTCATTCTGTTTTTGGCTTTCTAGTAGGGGGATGTATGGTGCCAGTCCCAATGGTAAGCTAACGGGCTGGCTGTCTTGTAGGGGAGCGAGCACGAGTAGGTGGCGTATCCAGTGCGAAATCCGGCGAGAAGGCCCACTAACAACATGTGATCCTGTTCGCACGCTTTAAGTCTGGTTTTTCAAAGTAATTACATCAAAATCCTTGAATGAAAAATAGATGGAAATATCAAACATTAGGAAATAAAAACCATTATATTCAGAACATTTCTAACAAGATATTTACATCACAGCCTCCAATTCTTTCCGTTGCAAAGACAAATATAAGAAACCCTTAGGTTCTTTTAAAAGTGAACTCTTTAAACAAAATTGAGCCATTTTAAATTATTTTAATTGTCATGGCCAAAAAGCAACAACAAAACCTGTAGATTTTGTTCTGTATTGAAAGTGAAATTTGTTAAGTGAAGATCAGTGTGAAATTATGCAGGGGAAAGTTTTATTTTCTAATTTATGGGTTATCCCTCCAATCCGTTCATTCGGCTCCCTAACTTGAAAAGCAGGTTTCCATGTTTTGCCGACTTTCATAACCAATTGATATTGGCATTGTAGAGTTTTTGACAGTTTGTTTTGCATCTGCGTGAACTTTAACTCTAACGCTTATTATTCTGTCTCGTTTTAATTATTTGAATCGAAAAGGGAGCGCAAATGTCTTGAAAAACACAAGGGCGGTGTAAAAATAGGACGAAAATCGAAACAGATTAAGTTTCGGCACTGTTAACAAAGAATCGTGCAGCTGACCAAATCGTCCATAAATGTAGTGTTCAGTCGAGCGAAGAGGATCATGACAGCTAGCAGTGTCAACAAAAGAAAAAACTGAATCGAATTGTCATAAGTTTCATTACAGTCATGCAGGTATGCACATTGCTACAGATAACTGAGAGATTTACTAGCTGATTGTGTTGACAAGGTGTCTTTGAGGCAATTGTTCATTTTAATAGCGTCTGTGGAAATTCTAAAGGAGTCGCTTTGGGGAGGGAGGTTTGCTTTTGTAATTAGCCTTGCAAATCATTAATAATTCATTTGAGGGCCTAAGCACTGGGCCTGTTTCATGGTTTGCTACACGCCATTAAAATAATAATAATAATAAAAAAAATGGCGAAACTGTAATCTGATCTAGACCAAGAAGCTGTTGAACGCAATTTCTTTGTGAAGACCTGTTGTTTCGCAGTGGATGTTTTTCCACTAGTGTCTCGTTTCTGACACTGTGCTGTGCATGTAAAGCGGTTCTCAACTCATGTCGTACCTCGCACGCCGCTTCGATCAACCGAGTGATGGAGCTTACAAAACCTATACAGGAAGAACGCAGGTAACATATATGCGAAGGTTTTTGTAAGGTTAAACACAATAATAGTGGCGGGATTATAATGAAAATTCCTTGTTTGGACGTTTCCTTGATGTAATTAATCGACGCAGCTATCGGCAAAGCTGATTTACATTTTTCAGTGTCCGCACTCGTGGCTGTTTGTCAACACAACGCTGCTCTAACGTATTCCGAACTTGCTATCTAAAGCGTCAGCTTGGTTTGACGAGATATCGACTCGTCGCCGCTAAGTTCTTTTAAATATCATTCGCGTGAAAGTTCCTCGTGATGTGTGCAAATTCTATCGGGTCCGTAACGCTAAAAACAAAGTTATCGAACTACCCGGCGGGGTCAAGCTGGAGTTAAACCCACGCGGATCAACTTGTTTGTGTATCGCGGTGCCGTGTTGCTTTTGAAAAAGTTACTTTATTTATTGACAACGAGTTTCATTATTCAATTCACCGATGTCATTTGCAATTGCATGGCTAGGTTTATGGGCTATTGAGAAACGGAAACCTTTATTTGAATTCCGAGGTAATCTCTTCAGGTCATAAACACCTTCTGCACAGCAGGGCGTAATAAAACACAGAGTGTGAGTCCGTTTAAACGTTTTATCTCGTCCGCTCTTCGTAGCGGCAAAGTGTTGTTTTGCAGATCTTGACATTTTGTTAATGAAATAGCCTTGAAATGCCAACAATTGTTCACGGTCGGACGAGCTATTCATGCTCAAATGCTGAACGTAGATCTCTTGTATGATAGCGCGCGAGAATGAACACTTAAGTGGATAATTAGCTTATCGTGTTAAAATGGTGTAACGTGTTTCATTGACACCCATTTTGCAAGAAGCCCGGGGCGTCTGTTACACTTTGCTAAGGTGAATTTCAATTATTTGCGCCTTTTGGATTCATCTCAATCCAAATTCAGTTTCCAGTAAGCTCTATGATGTCTCACAAGGGTACTGTTTGGCGAGTTTTGCTTGTTTTAACCATCAGACGTCAAGCCTTCTTCGTCACCTGAGGTTGATTTAAGTCAGCAAGATAATTATCTCAAGTTGCGTTGGGAATGTAAACTTGATAGCGCTTTACCTTAGCCTGTTTGGAAATGCGGCCCGTTAGAATAAGTAGAAGTTAACTCCATAGTAAACAGATCATTCTACAGGATTTTGTGTATGTTGTTATTCGCAAAGCGGCATCAACGAAGCAGGCCCACTGGCAGCACTCGAAACAGACACTTAGTTACAATAAACGCTCGTCATGCATGCCAGAAAGATTTTCTTTAGGGCGTTCACGTAATTTGACGCTTACTCAGGGTTTTTAACCTCCAGAATATGCATCATGTTGCATCGTTTAGGTCCTTGCGTAACGTTTGTGTTTTAGAAGCTAACTGTTTACTTTGCAGCACATTAAGTTAATTAAACGCCAATGGAATGTTAAGTTGTCAATCAATCTGGGCTTCCTGTGCTAACAAATCCATTCCATGGAGATCTTGTTGTTCGGATTAACAGTGTGTAGTTTTATAGACAGTCCTTTTAGCTGTTCTTGCCACCAATTAATTTGAGGCGAATTTGTCCCTGGAGTAATCAACCCTTAATTACCTGATTCTTAAGTAGTCCTTATTAGTACCCTTGAAGTTATTAGCTTAAATGGTCGGTTTGCTACCAATCCCTGAAATGCATATTTATGAATAAAGTGGCGTGCTCTCAGCCAGTAAGAGCTATCCCAGTGAAAATGTAACAAGCTGTTGTTGGTTTCATCTGTAAAACACTTACAAAATCTAGGGAGTAGCATCTTATGATATTTGACGTATTATGTGTAAGTACCGTTTTAATGGCTTTATGAATCACGGGGCAAAAACTTCACTGATTTTTGGAGGTTGAAGGCAACTGTTATACATCGCTTACTGGCCGAAATAAAACAGGTACCTGTCATCGGGAGGATCGTTTCCTCTCCCGTTTAAGCAGTTTGATCGTAGAGTTGCTTTGTACGAACAGTGAGTATAAAGTAAGACCATATCATCCCCTAGCAATCAATGGAGAGATTTTTCTTATTTTTGTTGCTTGTTTAGGACTCTTCGGGCGGCCGAAGCTCCCGAGACGAAACTAAATCGTCATCGACAAGACCTTCCTCCACAACGGACTCCTTACCTAGTCGACGGAACAGGTTAAGCGGCACCGCCGACGACCGGAACGAATTGGACGGCAGGAAGGCTGGGCGCAACAAGGAGAGCGAGGAGGCGGAGCTCCCTGCCTGGAAAAGGAGGCTACTAGAGCGAGAGAAAGAAAAAGAGAGGGAAAAAGAGAAAGAGAAGGAGAGGGAAAAACAGCGAGAACGGGAGAAGGAAAAAGAGAAGGAGGGTGAGATGCCGAGCTATCGTCGCTCAAGGTTTGACAAAGAAAAGGAAAAAGAAAAAGAAGAGAAGGAAAAAGAGGATGACGACTCATCATTAACAGCTGCAGCGCGTTTACGGAGGGCAAGGAGACTAAAACGCCGCGGAGGGGTGAGTACTTGAACCTCACTCGAGGGGAAGCGGGTAGTGTGGGGCACGGAGCGGTAGCTTTTTAAGCCTGGAGATTGGGAGCTCAGTTTATCCGCCAGGGAAGTGGGAGAGAGGCGGGAGGGTGGGGGGAGGGCGGGGAGTGTCTATAATAGGCCCTAGCATCTCGTCAGATAAAGCCACAGGGTGTTACTCAGGGGTGGTAGCTTTTTCAGCTTTTAAATCCCGTGGGTGCCCAGATAATTATCTCTATCTGCAAGGGAAGGGGATCACGGTTCATTTAAGCCCTAGCTACAATAGGTAGAGGATGGGCTAGCCATAGAGCTCCACATGTACAGCATTCTACAGCATAAGTTCCAAAGGGATGTCGAGTTGAAGCAGAATCAAGCAACTAGCCTATGCGGACCTCCTTTTTTGTCAGCACCCATTTGTTGCTCAAATCTGAAAAATGACACTCGCCCAGCTTCTCCCCCGAAGGTAAAGGGTGGAATAGCCAGAGAGCTCCACATACACAGCATTCTATAGCACAAGTTCCAAAGGGATGTCCAGGTGAAGCAGAATCAAGTAACTAGACTATCCGGGCTTCCTCCTGTTCGCACCCAAGGCCATTCGTTGCTCAAAACTGTAAAACAAAACTAAACCTTGCAGTGAATGTATAAACGCAACCTTTCCCTGGCTTGAATAGTTTGGTTTTTTCGTTTTTAGAGTGACGAGGAGGAAACTGAGGAGGTCAAAGATACGAAGAAGAACACCAATCTAGACAATGATGAAAAAGGGCCTGTAAGCGGCAGACGAAGATCCCAGGAAACTAGACACGAAGATACAAAGGTAACGGGCGTCATCTTCATGCATGCTGCTCTAAAGATTGAAGTATAGTGTCAGGATTAACCCATTTGTTTCTCCAACAAAGATGGGTCTAATGTGTTTATTTTGATTCCCCGGCTTTCGAAACGACCTTTTTCATTGTTAAATAGTTGTCTTCCTTTATTCGGCTATGGGTGTTAACTGGTTAAATGTTTTTTTTTCAATTTAACTGAAAAATGTGTTTTTGTTTCATTTGGTTCTTTTTTTTGCAGAGTTCTACAAAGACAGAATAAGGATAGAGGTATTGCCAAAGATGGGTTTGTTCAACCTTTTTCTTGACGTTTAATACCTAGTTTGTTTGTTGTTCAGAATAAGAAGTGGCAGGTTTGTTCAATTTCTTGACGTTTAATACCTAGTTTGTTTGTTGTTCTACTCTGTCTTGCAAGCGTCCTTGATGGACGAGCGAGCGGTCTGCATTTCCTGTGTGTTAACTTAAGACCGTTGGACTTTATCACTGATAAGTTTCTTAATATTACCTTGTCTTTCTTCCTTAGGACCAGTGACTCTAAAGGACCATTTGGTACCTCTAAGGTAGGTACAACGTTACTACATATCTCAGTTATCGTATTTCGTTCATTGCTGCCGGCCGCCTAGTTAGCTCAGTTGGTTAGCTGCAGGCTTGCTCCCTAGTAAACTGGTGCTGACCTTACACTGCACCTTTTGACGTTTTGACATCAGCTTTGACATTTTGAGACGAGAAACGGTTTTTGAGGAAGTGGGCGGATTTAAAAAGTTGCTTTGAGAAGGGCTTGCCCGTCTGTCTTCCCGCCGTTTTTCTCTCGTTTGTTATTTCATTGCTAGCGTGGTTTGTTCGCTTGTCCACACTGACCGAGAGCCTGGCACAGGCTACCAAATAGTCAGGTGGCAGAACCGAGAAGGCGCCCTTTATGCTGACGTCCAAGCGCATTGCAAATACATAACGAGATTTTATATTTCATCTCTGTTCATTCAAGGTTATAAACAATTTGTTTTGTGCTGCAGGCAAACGCAACTACGATAACAGAAACGGATCCACAGAAGTTGAAAGAAAGGCTACAAGAGGCGCAATTAGAACTTCAAGAGTATAAGATTAAATTAGAAAAGGCCTTACAAGTACGTCACGATCATATTTTATTTAATCTGTAATTTGTTTTGCGCCTGTTCAAGAACGACGCGTGGCAAATTCTTCCAGTCTAATTATTCTCGTTTTCCTTCCAGGCAAAAGAGGAGCTTGAAAGAAAATACGCTAATGTAGATGACGATCTGAAGGTATGTCAGTTTGGTATTTATTCCGCCGCGAAGGTTAAGATTTCATTGGCATCCTCCAGTGTTAGAACCACGCTGGGTTCTTCAGACTGAGAACGATTTTTAACGCAACAGAGCAACATTGTTGCGACATTGTTTCGAATACAGTGGAACCCCGTTTATAAGACCACCTCGTTATTACGGCCATATTCTTTCAAACCAAAAGTAAAAAACATTGACTCATTTTATTATTTTCAAGACCCCGTTAATGCAACCACCTCGTTATTACGACCAGGATTTTATGGCCCAACGGTGGTCGTATTAACGGGATTCCACTGTAGTTACAATATTGTTTCAACATTTTAACGCTGTGTTGCGCTAAAAGTCGTCGTTGCCAATCGTCTCGCGTAACGTCACCTGTTGTCTCTGTTGATTCAGTTAACCATAAATCTTTGTCCGCAGTATTATTAACCTCTACGTATATGGAAACAGGGAGCTTAAGCAACAACAACGGCGACAGCTGCGAAAACGTCTCTTAAAAAGTGCATTCGCGCTGCTTCAAACTTTATCGCGCTTATTCCATCTCGTTCAATTCGTCAAATGTTGGCAATTGTTTCTGGAGTTGAATTCTGTAAGGCTATCGAAGTTCAGGAAAAGCAAAAAGTAAGTCGTTGTCTTGTGTTCACGCCCTGCAAAAAACGTGAAATTAGGCATTTTACGTCGTAGTCGTGGTGTGAAGGCAAAGAAATGTACAAACAAGTGTGATGCACGTGCAAAGTTGTTGTTTTGCCAATCTAAGCCTATTGCTTTTTTGCCGTTCTCGTTGTTGTAGCCGTCGTAATTGCTTAATCTCCCTACTATTGGACAGTAGTTGCCGTGCAGTTGGCTTCAGGGAAAAGCGACTGTCTTCTTGCCAACAGAGATCCGTTTTAACTCTTGACCACAGCTCATCTCCGTGCACCCCCTCTACCAGGAAAGGTGGAGGAAATTGCTATTTTAATAATAATAATAATAGTGATGATGATGACGATGATGGTGCTTTATTTTTTATTTCTATGTTTTTTTTCATTTCCATTGATGTCCAATGGCGCTTTACAATAGATGTTTGATAACAAATATTGTTCATAAAAGTATTACGTTGATTGTGAAATAACATTACACTGAAACAAAATAAACGAATTAAATATAACAACTATTAGATTAAAAAAAAGCTTCCCATCAAAGCGACTATCAGGCGAAAAGTCATACCATGGATGTACTGATATTAAACCGTTATTATTATTATTATTATTATTATTATTATTATTATTGTTATTATTATTATTGTTATTATTATTATTATTATTATTATTATTAAATACAAAAGGACTAATTTGATAAAAACGCTTCCCTAAAAAGATAAGTCTTGAGCTTTTTCTTGCCCTTGCCACTTTTTGTTAAGTGAGCAGGGCCTTCATGCGCGCGTCCAGTTTGTTTTATTTCTGATTTCATCACCCGAAGGAGAATTCTTGTAGACTGATCATTGCTTTGTATTCCACAGCAACTGTCGGACTTGAAAGCGGACAACCAGCGGCTTAAAGATGAGAACGGTGCGTTAATCCGCGTCATAAGCAAGTTATCGCGACCTCCAACTTGACCATCATCTCTGGGACATAATACCAATGACTGAAAAAGATTACTTAGGTTAATATCCACAGCAAAGGCTGTGGTAGCTGTTTTTCTTGGTCTTTAAAACTGTACCTATTTATCCAGTACGAGACCACTACCCAGAGGTTCGTAATTACATTAGGTGGAAGGGGTGGCAGGTCGCCCGCGTACTTCTTCTTCTTCTTGTGTAGATATGTGTATGTTTTGTAATTGAGAGTAAGTGAAGTAGCCGAAGAAACAAAGTCAAAACTGTCGCTGGCAAAAGTGAACTAAGAAAGATAAAAAGATTTTACAATTAAATAATTTGTGAATGTCTTCGAAAAGCTCTCGTTTTCTGCATATTATTTTGCAGTTTTCTATAGGTGTATATCCAGGGTTTTTCGAACCAAGTACCTTTCGTTAGCTATCCGCAGAATTTTCCTCTGCTGGGAGCTTTTCTATTTTGTTACATTGTTTAGGGTTTAGTGTTGTAATGATCAATAAAACGAATGGCGAAGATTCTACTTCTGTAGTAAAGTGTAGTTTTGTACGACTTTTTTGCATAGACGATTCAGTCAAAATGAAGCAGTTGCTTGATGTAGAAAGAAATGAATGAGTACGATTAAACCTTTTCCCTGTGTCGCGATTCAGTAATGATTGATTGATTGCAAATTGAATTTAGCAAATGAAAAAAGGAAGAAAAAAAGAGGAATTTAATAGCAGTCAAAGCAACTTGTTATCTCGAAATGGTCCGCGCCGTTGCAAATATAATTGTATTGAAATTAACATTTATTATATTGTATCTTTGTTATTGTGCTCATAAATTCCGATGATATGAAGTAGTTAGGGTTAGGCGTAGTTGCTGATTGGTTCTTTCAAAAGCAGTCGGGGACCCGAGCACCGTTGTCAGTCACAAAGCACAGTTCTTGTCGGTCGTTGCTAAGTAACGTGTGGTAGAAACAGTTCCGATTGGTTAATAAGAAAAAGGAACTTCTAGTCGGGTCCTTAACGAGGATTTGACGAAGTCAGTGCTCGAGCCCCTAAGACTGAAGGTATTGAAACCTAATTCAATTAAAGCGAGCAGGTAGAGCCAAAATATCCTAATTGAAAAACGCCATTCAAGGCACTTGACAAATTTTAGTCGCCTTGTAACTGTAAATCAGATGCATTTGAGAAAAAGAACTTGCGGGGTTTTTCTCCGGAGCGGAAACGTCATTCAGTTCTTTCCTTCTCAACAGTAAGCTGGTTTGGTTATACCTTTACGAAAGCCATCCCTCATAGCATGGTTTTATTCACCTTTCAACGGCATAGAAACTTTCTCTTAGGTGATATATCCAGTACAACTTGTGCGCTTACAAAACTCATTAATGTACACGTCATTCGTTAGCAATTGTGGTGTGCGCTGACTAATCTTTGCCACCTATTTTTGATGTTGCAATCGTATTGAAATTACAAATTGAAATATTCCTTTCGCTATTTAGTGGAATCCACTCGTAAGAAAGGACTGCATTGGCTCTGCCCCAGATAGAAGCTTTTTGTTTCCTGTTTGCCCAACGAGGCTGGTTTCTAAATGTGTATTTGGCACTACGCAACTTTAATATATAACTTTACAAGTAGAAGGACTTGCTATGTCTTTGTATTTTAGTACATAATTAATGGACAAAACTAATAGCCTTGTATTAATTATTCTGTCCCATCTGTCGGTTCTGTGTTGATGATGCACTGTTATGGAACCCTAACTGCTATAAATATACAAGTCTCCTTTAAATGTGTTGTAGTGTGCTTTAGTATCTGATTTTACCAGTCCTTATTAAGAGAGATTTTAAAATGGGAGAGAGGGGGGAACGCCTAGTTTAGCCCTTGGGATATGTGAATTTCACCAAAGTTATTTCTAGGCCAATTACACGCTTGAAATTAATGGAAAGTTTGTTCCCGGAGAGGATCGCCAACTTTTATTCAGTTTTGTCAATACGCCACTTGCACATCTCCCATAATGCACCTTATTTTCCCCCAAAATTTTGCTTAATTTTTGTTTTTCATTTATCCTGGGTATTACAGCCGTCCCTAGAGAAATTGAAAAACAATGCTTATGCAAAATGTTTGGGGGCAATTTAGGTAGAATTCAACAGTCGCCATTACAATATTCTGCATTGTTTGCTTTAAGTGTAGTCGCGCTTGGACTTGATGACGTTTCAAATTCAAATAAAATCTGCGGAATAGTACAACCTCTAAATAAAATAACTTAAGTGACATTCAAATATCGCGGCCAACATCCCTAAGATTCCCTCTGTGTCCCATTTCTCTCTCTTGAATAACTAGACACCCATAGATTCTAGGACGAGTGCGACTACGAGTACGAGATTTTCTCAATACTAAGTAGTGCACGCGCGAGAACCAGCGTCATTTTGGCGGGAAAATGTGGTAGCTGTCGTCACTCTACCACGAGTTTTAGCGCCAATGCTCGTGGTGGCGAAATCAAGATAGGGTATCAAATGTTAGAAGTTTTCTCATTTTGCGATATCAGGAAAGCGCGTACCCTCCTTTACTAAAGATAACAGTGCTAACTTTTCTAGTGAAATATGGTAAAATAAAGCTTTCCGGGAAGTCTATATTTTGAAAATACGGGAAAAAACTTCAAGTCAAATCTCGTACTCGTAGTCGTCCTCGTCCACGAATCTAAAGGTCTCTATTGTCATCTCTCTCCACAACAAACAACATTGGGATCAGTACCAAATGTCTGTTTTAGGGCACTTTCCATTTGGTCAGAACTGACCGGCCAGACCATTCCCGCCATAATGAGAATTTCACTTTGAATCAAAACTTATCCAGCCAGATCAGACAAATCCTAAATAGTATTGCTCGAAGGGGATAGTTTTTCAGCAAACACTCTTGGGAAAAGCCGATTTCACTTGCTAACTGACTGGTCCGGCCGGCCAGTTCTAACAAACGGAAAGCGCCCCGCGCCCTTAGTTAGATGTCTCTGTTGTGGTTCAATTTTATCTTTGGTTCGAATTTTTATTTTCTGTTGTTTCAAACTTGTTATAATATATTACCATACCCAAAAAACAAGGGAAAAAAAAATTAAGCAAAGGATAAAGGTGCTTGTCTTCTGGTGATAGCTGATAGCTTGCGATTAGGATCCTTTTGACATGACGTCACGTCCGCCATGTTGGTCTCCCAAAACAACAACAGGGGGGCCATGTTGGTGTCCGAAATAATCATGTGGGTGCTGAATTCTTTTCTTATGTAAACGATTTAATTTGTTCCAACAAATAATGGCATTTTGCCCTAAGCGAGAAGTAAGTGTTAATGTTGGCTTAGGAGAGGGGTAGATGGGCAGTTTCCAAGAAAAGTATAATGATCCCAAATTTGTGTAGCTGCCGGGCACGTGTGTGGAAACGCTCTATGTGTTGTAGTTCAATTTTAACCTTAGTTTAAAGTTTATTTTCTCTTTGTTTTGGGGTCTGGTAATGTATGATAATGAGTTAAAACCAAGCAAACTAAAATTTAAACCAAAGGTAAAATTAAACGACAACAAATACAACCGTTTCCCCTCGCTTCTCGCCACTAGGACTTCTCGAGGGGAAAGAAACGTCCATAGCGGCGAGGAGCTAGCGAGGAGAGACGGCTGTGTTCGTAGGCTAGTTGTATGGAGGGTTTTTTTCATGAGACAATTAACGGTAAATTCGTTTTGCCCTTATACCTGGCACGTTTTGGCATGGTGTCTACTTAAATACGGTTTAAGTCCCATCAAAGCCGAATATTGTAGAAGTACTTTATCCAAAAAATGCACCCATTTCTGTCATGGAAATGTCGAGATGGAAAGAAAAATATTCTTTTCAAAAGGCAGGGAACCTGGTTCACCTCTCATATCACTCTTCAAATTTATTTATCTATTTTTTTTTAATCAATTCAAAGAACCCGTTATTTCACTAGGTTAAAATTACAATGTCGCCTTTACTGATTCTTAAATGTAAAACAACCTCGTTCCCAGGGCCCTTTTGGACGAGGTTGCAACGTAAAAGTATCACATTGGTGAAACCTTTGCACTCTGTCATAGGTTTTACCCGAATGAATGATATCTCCCCGAGTGGCCATCCCAGTCAATATAGCAAATTCTCAGGAACCTTCCTCTCCATTCCTATCCACGTTTTTGATGAATAAGTTTATTAAGCCCCTCCCCGCCCCTCTCTGTCACTACGGCACCACAAACGGTACCACCCTCACCACACCCCTGCACCATCTTTACTTTCACAATAAAAGTAATAAACGAGGAACTATGAATTTTATCTCCTTTGCTCCAGGAAGATTCTCTCTGGGTGCTCCACTTTTTCTCTCTCCTCAAAACCTAACACTTCTAAATTTCAATTCGTCCAGGAAACAGGTAGACGAAGAATGACCAAGTGGATGTGCTGCCTCTAAATCGTTATTTTATTTATTTATTTATTTATTTACTCTTTTTCCAGACGCTATGTTGTTCCCTAAAATTTTCAACGAGAACTATCCTCTAGAGTATGCATATGGTACCAAAAATACCGCGTAGGGCGTCATGGGAAAAAGACAAAACCTCCATGGGCGTCGGCCGAACAGTGCATCCTTCCGACGACACTGCAACTGCCGCGCCCCGCATAAGAACAAGAAGGGACAACTAAATCTAATGACCAACAACCATGAAGATTGGATGCGTTCTTCCCTATTCTACCCCTCCCGCATGCTTAATGAGCCCGGGCCGGGGGCAAGGAAACTGCCATAGGAAAAAGACCGGGATGCAGGTTGGGTACAGTTCATTACAGAGAACCAATATTTTTACCCACAGAGTTATCGCTTAGGGTGGATAGAGAGGCAAATTGGGGGGAAAATAAAGGAAAAATTAAAGAACTATATTTCATCATCTCAGTAGTTAAAATGCGCCAATTACAACATATTAAATTTAAATATTTAGTAATCTTCTCCTCTTATTTATGGGGCTTTTCAGGGATAATGGAACAAAATGGAACAAAAGAAAGTTCAGATCTGGCTTTCCCTCGCTAGCGCTGCCGCTTGTCCAAGGGTAGACTTTAAAATGGCATAACTAACCAGGAAAATAAAATAAAGGACTTTAAGAAAGTCTAACTGGTTTCCCTAAATGATCCAAGAAAGCTTAGTGCCAAAAGCTGGTGCTCAGTTCCCACAAAGATTCTGGGATGATTATTGAATTTACATGTATGAGTACTTCTCCACGCCGGGTATCCCTTCGTAATTACAAAGTCGAAAGCCAAGGCCTAGTTAATGGTGCGATTATATTTCATTCCTTGCAATTGCATCGTTGATTTACAAAGGCAAGATAGGTATGGCACGAGCTTTACTCTGCATGCGCATGTGTACCGCCTGCACCCACACAGTGATAGCTATAGATACAACTGTTAGGTCTACAAAAAAGTACATGATACGCGCTGATTATTGAGTGTCGCTTCCTGCCTGGGACTCTGCTGAGAAGAGTCTAAAAGGACTTATAAAAGGCACTTACAGCTACCACACACTGTTAACCACACACTGTATGGAATGGACGTGCGCATGCGTAATACGCTGGTAGTGTTTGTGTCCCTTGAAATTGTAATGAAGTAATCTGCATAAGGAGCCATAGCACACATGAACCTGAGTGTTCAGCATTGTTCCAAAGCGTCTTGTAGGGACATCTGTTGAAATCTTCCTTCCGTCTTGTGTTGGACTCTTCTGGTTGCACACAGTATCCGTCTTTTTTACCCACGTAATATGAAAATCAGAGATCAATTATGCAAATTGAAATCTACTCATAAAATTCGAGCCAGGTGGGAGGAGGGAGTGGGGGAGAGGAAAGTTTGATGAGCTGGGAGAAAAGTGAAAATACAAAACCAGATAACGTTATCTAAGTACGTATTTTCCTCCTCGTCAGGAAATACTTGACCAGATTTTACCAAAAGCCTTTTAAGAGTTTCTGAAATACCAGTAACTTGAAAAACACCGCGCTTGAAAACGTAAGCAAAATTTCTGTAACTCACCTGAATAAGATATAAAAGATCTTAATGAGAATTAAATTTTTTCCGGTTTTGCTTGTTGGGTTGTATGGTATATTAGAGCAGTGAATTGGATACCCAAAGGCCACCCAAAAGTATATATCTCGATTGACCAAATGAAACTTGTTTAAAGAACTGGATCATAAGTATCGCACCTATAGCTAATCTCATATTCCAATATCTAATAAAGACAAGAGAAAATGATCTTGGTTTGTCTTAATTATGTTATTGCTAAAAATAAACCTACCGCAGGGTTTCTATTAAGGCCCCCAGAAGGCCGTTTTTCTTTGTCACTTATTCTCTCTCATCAAAATACGTTTGATAGTGGGAGAGGAGCCTCACTCGGAGAGGAGACTCATTTTATTTCAGGACTTAGCTTATCGCAGTATCTAGTATTGAGAAAGAAAGAAAGCTTAAGTATGTAAACCGGTTTTCTACATCCAAATTTGGATAAGGCTATATGGCATCATTCTGTCTGCAGGGAATACATTTTGTAATATTGTCTATACCCGATACTATAGGCATTGTACCATACTTTGAATTTTCAATTCAATCTGTCCTTTGTCAGTGTGATTGTGAATGTCTAGGGAAAATATGGTTTAAGACCTTTGTTGCTTTAAGAAAGAGAAAGGACTACGTTAATTATTGACATAAAGAGAAGCATGGTTTCTTTTCATGAATTCCCATGTGGGCCCGGAGAATCGTCCATAAGTATCATTACGCAAATTATTTATAATTGACTGGTTTCTTCGATCGATTATTCGTCAGTCCCAGTACGGCCAATTGTAATCAGTCTTCACTCAATGTAACTAAACCATTTTCAGCCCCTGAGGATCAACATTCGTCAGTTGCTGGTCTGGTTTTCCCGGTCCCAGTTGTTCAAAAGTTAGACTGCAAAACAGTCCGTAGTTTTACATATTTACGCGCGAACAGTCAAACAAAAGGTCTGGAGCGACGCTGAAAAACGGAGAGCGAGAAAGGGGTTTTTCGCGCGCTTCGGCTCTTATGCTACTCTCAGGCTACACTAAACTGACTTTGAGAAAAATACGACTGTTTTGCAGTCTATTCAAAAGGTGGATGATAATGCTATCCTCCAACGGATAAATCTGTCCATTGGCTAAAATAAGTTTCCCTCATACTTATTCGCTGGATAGTGATTTATCAGATGTGTAAGGTTATCCAACTTTTCAAAAACCGGGGCCTGAAGTGATTCGACATAGACTGAATTTTCGACTGAATTGAGATACCTTTTGCCTGTAAACGCAGTGAATGGTCATCGTTTTTGGTTCAGTTAGAGAAGCATACCTCATCGCGAGCGGCAAAACTCTTGAACCCTTGGGTATTAATAAGAAAGATGAAATGTAATACATTCCTTATTTCTTCCATTTTTATTCATTGATACTATTTTTACATTTCAAATTTCTTTTATATAACGACTTCAACGGTTTTTGTTTTCCTATTTTGGCTTTCAACGTTCACTTTTTCCTTATTTAATTTCTACATGTTATTGGACGCTACCCTTCATTTTAAATTGTAACGTCTTAGCTTAACCTAGTCATCTGTATTAAAGACCCTGAAGAAGGAAGGCCGCGCCTTGCCTTCCGAAATATTGATAACAAAAATATACATATTCCCGACTGTAAAATCAGCTTTGCTTCTTTCAGTGGTTCAGTTACATGCTTGGTACTTTTCTTTGCATTGTTCATGATTCATATTTACGATATCCTACAGTCACCCAAAAAATTTAACTGTGTGAACAACAGTGCATATTTCGTAAACGGCATCCAATTTGGATAATTAAGTTTGCAAATGGTAAGCGCATGCTTGATACCTATTAACATATTATCTATTCTCGTCACCAGAGCCTCACTTGACCCTCCGATCTTTGTTCGTGTATGACCTGAGTCAAGAATAGGGAGATTAAGCAACGGCAACGGCGACTTCAACGAGAACGGTAAAGAAGCAATAGGTTTACATTGGCAAAACAATAACTTTGCACGTACATCACGTGTTTTTGTATTTTTCCTTGCCGTCACTGCACGACTATGACGTGAAACTTCGTAATTTCACGTTTTATGGACTGGCGTGAACACAAGACAATGATTTTCATTTTGTTTTTCTGAACTTAGATACAGTCCTTTAGAATTCAACTCCTGAAAGATCGCCAACATTTGACACATTAAAGGAGTTGGAATAAGAGCGATGAAGTCTGAAACAGCGCGAATTCACTTTTTGGGCGACGTTTTTGCTGCCGTTGCCTGTCTAAGCTCCCTAATGTCTCCCCTCTTCATGTCTATTACATGACGTATTGTCTTTTAATTCATGAGCACTGCCACGAAATATATTATAAGCGTTTAGGTGTTCAATAAAATGTGATAACAAGGAATTCCTTTATGCGCGTACAACTTGGTGAATTAAAATTCCGAGAAAATAATTTGGTTGTTGGTGGGCCCTCTATTAAACGTTGTGGCCATTTAGAATAAAGAAAAGATTGAAAAAGCTAAGCAAATTTTTCTCCTCGAAACGTTTAAAAAACTTTTTTTTTCTACTCTGCTTACATCCCGACACTGTAGATTCTTGGTTGCAGCCACGTGACAAGGTGGCCATGTTGGGGATCAATACAACATGAAAATAGAAGCATTTTGATATTTAATTAAAACTCTCTTTAACGCGCAGTCACGGCGCAAGGGGCTTAAAGTGATTCGCCGGTTTTGCACCGCGCATCTCTTACTGGGCATAACAAGATGACCGCCATAAAAAAGAGCATCTAAAGTAACATTATTAAAATGAAGTTGACTGAAGAGAAACGCTAGTGGAATTTTCGCTTGCGGTTGTTTCTTGTCAAAACAAACGTGGTGACTCCCACTTTTTATTACTTTTTAAAATCATCTTCTTGACTTGTTACATCAGTGTAACAAGTTTCATGTGCAATCTATGTGGCCTGGGTCAAAGGTGTGTTCGGAGCATATGATTGATTGGTAATATCTCTCGCTAGGAGACAATTTTTCCCCCCGAAGTAAATCTTGAGGTCGTCTTGTGCCTTAACGTTTCATTGTGGTCACGTGACATGTCACGAGACCAAAAATTGAAAACGAAGGAAATTGGGGAATTAGTGGCGAATTTAGTTTGTCTGGATAAATAAATTAGCATTTCTGAAAGCCGGGATAAACATACCTAGCTTGTTACGTTTGAAATGAATGAAACGCGAAGTTTGAAATTAAAGTTCTTAAATAATTCATGATTAAATTAGGACATTTAAAATGATGTTTACCCTTATAACTATTTATTGAAGTGCGATGGACGGTCATTCCAAACGTGAAGTGTTAGAAATATTTAATATGGATAAAAAAATATATCAAATATTTACTATTTTTAGCAAACTGGTCACCTGACATATCATGTGACTAACTTTTATCTTTGTATGTAATTTCGAATTTTATCCTTTTTTATCTTTGAATTCTTATTTTTTTTATTCCATTACTTGAGTCTATCACAATTTCGATGATATATCTTATGTATCTGTCAGAGATCTGGAATTGAAAACATATACCCTCAAGCAATTGATTGGAGGTTTCTTCCAAATAGGCCATTTGAAAAAAAAAGGACTTTCCATGCTTCAGGGTTTTGCTTTCTCGAGCATATTAGGGCGTTTGTTATCTGTGTTATCTATGTTTGTTATCTGGGATTACTAAATTTAAATCTTAAAGAAATTACGAGATGAGTCTGGTCTTAGTAGTAAAAAGACGTCACCGTGAAAATGACCATAAAACACTAAAACACAGACTAAGATACCATAAAACACATAAAATAGAATAAGTTTTCGTCTGGTCTGTTTCCCCACCAATCACAGTTTATTTTATATTTGTATTATGCTGGAACCTTAGTATTCTATTCTCACTTAGCTTTTACTATTTTTAACAAAATGGCCACCTGACATATCATGTGTCTAACTTTTATCTTTGTATCTTCAATATATTTTCGAATTTTATCCTTTTTTATCTTTGAGTTCTTATTTTATCTTATTCCATTACTTGAGTCTATCACAATTTCGATGATATATTATGTATCTGTCAGAGATCTAGAATTGAAATTGAAAACATATACCCTTATAGTCGAAATATTGGGAAAATAAATTTGTAAATTACCAACTGTTAGCTGTCCGATCAGCCCTACCTTCGATTAAAAAAAAAAAAAATTGTCGGTTCCATGTCTCTCGATTCTGTCCCTCAGTATAAACTTTGTTTTCAGTGGACAATTCCTGAAGCTTCTTGACATCAATCAACATCAATCATGTGTTACTGACAGATGATGAGGCCACCAGAGAAAGATGAATCGTGTATGGTCCCTTCGATCTTCATTTTTGATAATTATTAAAGTTAAATCATATAAGTCATATAAAAGTACTTAGTCTTGCTTCCTTTACTCTGTCATTCTGATGTGACTGGCCCAATTAACGAAGTCGACAGCGACGTAGTTCAGTGTACTTTTTTGTGTTTATTTGTCAGTTGTCTGTGCCCAACACTTGTTTCCATCTTTCCTGTCTAACAAGCAGCAGGAAGCAGGGATCTCAGAATGCTGAATCATTTCCCTTTCTATTATTGTACTGTCTTTAACATATCACATCTTTTTTTAGGCTTGTTCTCGTTACACTGATCTGCTGTTCAGACAATCACAGCTCGATCGAGTGGAAATCATTTCCACATGTAAGAAGTATAAACTTTGAAAAAAAAAAGTCAGAAACAATACTATCAAGACAAATGTCAGAATAATTTTATGTTCAAAGTAAACAAAAAAGATTAAATTCAATTACTGCCGTCCGGGTTCACTCAGATATGCTCCAGTGCATTCTAATGAAATCATAGACCATGACATTCTGGTTTGGAGCAGTTCCCGATTCACCTATTTGACTTGTTTTACGTGGCAGTTCCTTTCGATATGCTTAGAATAGGAAAATATCTCGGGCATTTCCAGAAGCATGCATCTGATTGACCGATAGAAATGTGTTTATTGGTGGAATGTGGTTTTCACTAGTCTCCAATTACATCCTTGGTGTGTCAGTTGGTGAGGTTTATACGAGCTATATTGTCTTCCAGGGCAACCAATCACAGCTCGCGGGTGGAATTGGGCCACGGTCGCTCTGCGCATGTCCGCTGTACCCAATCACAAAATTCTGGGTAAATTTGATGCACGCTGGCTGCTTGCTTGGGTTGTTTTCAAGAATTTTTACGCCATTGTGACCTAAATTCCTCCACAGAAACTCACCAAACCAAGACGGAAAAGCTTGCAGTCCCGAGTTGAGATTTTTCTGTGCTACCTAATGACATAACGGACACAATTGAGAGGTTTCTTCGCCAAGCAACATCGCGGGAAGTTGAGCTGTCGCCTTGCACGGCTTCTCTTGTTAGCAATTATGGCGGACGTCTCGGATGAAAGTTATCCTACTGAACCTCACAAGACTAAACACAAGAGAGACAGGAATGAAAGAAGGGCAAGAGACAGAGCTAATCGATATGGCGATGGTATGGACGGAACTTCATCGTCCGCGAAGGAACGGAACAATCCAGGTTTAGATGATAGCGGAGTCGCAAATGACCTCGCAAGCACTGGCGATCGGGTAGAATCTGCGAGACGAGACAGAAGAGAAAGGCGGAAACCTAAAGAAGAGGTTGAAACACATGCCAACGACGAGGCACCCGTAGAAGGGGCCACAGCAGCCACGGAAGAAACATCGCCAAAGAAAAGCCTCAAGAAGGACAGAAAGAGCGAAAACAGCGCGCACAAGAGACAGGCAAAGAGACATTTGAGAGAAAAACGGCGGTCAACGGGGGTTGTTATTATGCCCGGTGGTGCCGATGGAGATGTGAGTAACTATTTTATAATGTTCTCTAGTTATGTCTGTTTACCAGTACGTTTTTTCTTTGAGGTCCCCTCGCCCAAGAGAACAGCTAAGAAAATGAACTTTGCCGATTTGTTCGCGCGAGTAATTGCATTGAGATTCCGGCGTCACGAACAATGTACATTTCTATATAAGCTTAACTGTTCACACGAATTATACGCGAGATTGTGCAGTTTTAACTATTTTCTGTTCTTTACATCGTCCTCCATTTTGTGAGATGTGTTGTTTTTGAATTTTTGTAATCTCTACCGGGGATTATTGTCGCAAAAGTCAGTTTAGACTAGTAGAAATTGACCTTTTGTTGTTGAGTGAATTTCGCCAAAGATGGATAATTTTATTTGCAATTCGACATCGGCAAATCTAAACAGTAAATTAAAATCAATCCAGCTGTAGTGTTATTTAAGGAAAAGTGGAAATTAATAAGTTTACGACAATATAACAGATGGTGGCAAATTTCCTCGGTGTTTCTTATAATTGCCATTGTTATGGGACGAATATAAGTGTTAAATTTTTGTACATGTTTCCCTAAATACCTGTCTACCTACAGGGCAAGATGTTTTCTGTACTTTTAGAGACATCATGATTTAAGTACTCCAATTATCGTGAAGTTAGTCGTAGCATTAGTCGTTTTAACAAAGAAACGAACTTGTATGAAGTACGGCATCTCAACACGTGAAGTTCAAACAAATGTCAGTAATTAATCCTGAACAGTTGAGGTAAATCTTACCTTTCATGTACATTGTGTGAGGATTGTGTTCTTTTGCGAAATAAGACTTTTCTTCACAACGTAGTTCTGACTAAAATACATTCGATACTTTGATATAAGATGACTCAAACTTGCATAAAATTAAACTTTCCAATGTGCTCCTTTAATCGAAACACTTATTCGCCTCTTTGAGCGTAAACATGTACATGTATGTGTTGGACTTTTTTTTTTAGTTATATTTTCTTTCGATAACGTGTTATGTTTTTTATTTACGTGCACATTTGTTCACTCACTCATCTCTTGAAATTACGAGAAACTTCTCTTCAACTTCGTCCTCATTATAACTCAATAAGATTATATTGATCCGAGAAATGCCTTTATACAGTACAATACCGTGAGACGTTCTTTCTGATTTCTTTATGCTTTCAATTACTGAACTGACGTTGGAAACGTAAATGTTGTTTTGCATTTAGAGCGAAGAAGACGACCTAACAAAGCAAGTGAAAACCAACACACAACAAAACGAACAAGCGAACGACGACGAAGTTCAATCTGAGGTATGCTTAGTGAAATCCTTTTAGAAATTCAATGATCTGTTGTTTTTAGTGTGTAGAGAATAAGTCTGGGTGCTGTATACTGCTATGTGTGTTTTGGGGTTTTCCACATATGCTTTGTTGATATAGAAAAAGTTACTTTTGCAAGATGAAAATGTTACTTTAATTTCCTTGTTTTAATTGTGCAAAAATATGGGTACCAAGTATGTCAATGCCCATAGTTAGTGAAATTCCTAGTGTATATCTAAATTAGGGCATTTAAACACCCTTGAAATGTCGCGTTTATGAGGTCTTCCCATCAGACAAGTTGTTTTAGACAACAAAGGCTTGTTTTATCATATCTTAATATTATTTAATTACAAGAATTGTTTCTCAATAAATTAATAAAAACATTTGCTCTAATCTTTTGTGCTTTCCTTCAAGTTGATGAAAATATGAGACAAAGTATGGCTTAGCAGAAATTGAAAAGGGATATGAAGAAATGTGATAGTTTATTGCAAATGACAAAACATAACAAGGTTATTTGACTGTTTTTACATGCATATAAATGGCTCTCCATAAAAATTATCACATTTCTTAAGCTTTAAAAGAAGTCTGCTTATCAGCTATCCAGAAAGCTGAAGTTTGGCAGGAGTTTGTATTTTTTTCCATTTCAAAACCTTGTTAAAAGTTTAGTTTGAGCAGATAATCTGAAGTCTACAATAGCAACTGTGGATATTTGGCAGAAATGGTAAACATTACTTTTTTCATCTGTGATGTGTTTGGTTGAAGCTTTTTTTTCACACTTTTGATTGCATTTCCATTCGTACATACAATTCTGATTAGTTTTTTTTTTCTCAATTCTTGACATTTTTTCCGGATTTGTCCTTAGAGTGTGCTTGTATTCCTGTTTTTACATTTATTTTGTTCATTTTTGTTAGTGTTATTTTGGATGTCTCTCACAAAAATGTACAGATTGTGTTTATGTTTATCTTTGTTTTTATAGCTCAAGGTTTACCCGATCAGTAACATTTGCCTTTATAATATTATTTTCTAAGACATTGCCTTATTTAGAAATTACCTTTAGCATAGTCGCAGACAAAAAAAAACTACTGGAAAACTGCTTAAAAGGGCAATGATATTTGTATCAATGTTATTTTTTTTGTTTTCTAGTAAAGTCGTTTGAAAGAGAATTATTAATAGTAGGGTAAATTCAATTCCCTGTTGTCTGGCTATTTTTATATATTTGTCAAGCGGAAAATAGACTCAAGTTGATGGATTGAAGGTTTATTAACCGGATTGGCTTTGGCATAATAACAAAGCTTGGCTTGTGAGATATGATAACAAAACTTTAAAAGGGTCTACTTGAAGCTCATCTTAGGTTCCCTCCAATTTTTTTTAACCCAAAATTTCATTTGAATTATTGCTTAGAGACTCTGTATCTGACTTTTAGTATTTTTTGGTATCATAAAATAGGAGAAGTTCTCTTCTTGTAATCCCTCTCTCCAACGTTTTGGTAGAATTGTAATTATGGAGCAAAGATTGACAGTAAGAGAAAAGCACATGAAAATCACATGTAGTTATCCTCCAAGAGTTTTATCCAGTCTACACTATTTTGCAAAAACAGATGAACAAAACTTAGGTATTTTTAGACATGGCAAATGCACTTGTGTGTTTGATGTTTCTTGTTTGTGTGTCAAGTCAGGTAACGGAAACTTGTGCAGATAAGCTTTCAATTTTGCTTGAAAATACCCAAACCAAAATGGTACAGTGTACAGATCGGACATGGTTAATACCTCGTATTTTTAATCACCGTTGAAAGGAAAGTGTTCCTCTGAGGAACCGTCACATGCTACATGTAAATAGCAAGTTAGTACTAGTCACTTGGAATTGCTGAAATCCAATTTGGAAAATTAATTAATCATGTGTGAAATTTGGTGATAACAGGGCAGGTTATACCAACTAGAGGTGTTGTATTAAGTGAGGGCAGATAATATTAAGTTGACTAAAATTATTCTCTTTTCCTTCTATCTTGCAGGATACTCCAAGAAGTAAAGGGTGTGTTTCATTTTTTCATGATTTTTACTTCTGCAATTTATTTACCTTTACATGCACTTGTTTACTATAAGCGTAGATTAGAGATGTATACCGTTACCAACTCTTGTCCCCATGGCTGTGATCCTTCTGGTCAGGGCCACAGATCGAGAGCTCTCACCGGCTTTAGGATAATGTGCAAGTGCTGTAGTTCCTATTTTGTAACTATTGATAACCATTAGTGTTTCAATTTCTGAGGCTGTGCAGAAAGGTGGAAGTCGTATAGTGCACACTCCCTGCTTAAGCTCCTGTCAGAGCTCTTGGTCAGTGGTGTTGCAGCTCTGGGGATGAGAATGACTGTTACTCAATCAAACTAAGCTACCCACTCAAAGATCTGTATATCTACATCTGCTTGCCTCGTGGACATTGCATTAGAACTGTCATCCATCATTGATTTCAGCATATCAACTTGAGCTGAGAGAGGCATAACTAGCCAGTTATTTGAAATGCTCTGATTAACAAATTGGGAGCCACTGTGGTAAAGCTGTAAGTTAGATCTAAAGATTTACAGTTAAACTGTGGTTATTTTCAGGGCTGTCACTAAGGGCCAGATGCCAGGGGCTGAGGGCTGGGGAAATCCTTGGCTACTATGAGCGTAAGCCCCCGCTATTTCCATAAGAAATTAAAGCAAAATGGAACCAAAAGAACTTCCTAGCTTGACAATTCCCCTCCCAAAAGTCAACTCCTTTTATGGCGAACCCCATGGGGACCTTGAGTTAGTGTCCTTGATTACGAGAGTCCATAACTGCAGGAGTTTATTTCAGTCAAACATCTGTTATATTTTTTTACCTGGAATTTAACTGCTGTCCGTATTATCAGGGTTTTGCGTAACAGCAGGGTGTTATTGCATTTACCCGGCAAATAATTGAAATTTTAGTGACAGCCCAGCTGTGTTTATTAAGACACTGTGCTGTACATCATCTTTCCCATAAAAATAATTATTAGAGATTAAGTGAACTGTCCTTGAATTTCTGCTAAAAGTGGGTGTCTAAGGAATGCTTGGACACCATTCTGGCTTGAAGCATGTTCCCTGGTGTAGTGTTGTAACAGTGGCTTTCTGTAATTGCCGGCTTCTTTAGACGTATTTTAACTTATAAGGGCTCTGTAAATCCATGCCCTGATTCGCAGACTTTCCATTAATTCTTGCTCTCTAAAATGAATTTCATTTTTTTAGATCAAACAGAAGAATAGAGCAGAAAGCAGTAAGTGACCTTTTTTTTGTCTTTGTGAAAAGTTAACCAGACTATCTGTTTTGTCAGTCAATACTGAGTAGATTACTGCGAAACACAGGTCATCAAATTAGTGACTTTTGCTCCATTGTTAGTTGCCAAATGTTTCTATATTTGCCATGGCAAAGGTAATCAGTTTATGAAACCTTGGGTGCTTGCCATTTACCCAAACCACACGAGTGGAAGTCTTGTGCATTAACGTAAAGCTATAAAATTTGGTGCGCAGGGAGAATGACCCGCTACAAAATACATGTATATCCAAATCAGCTGAACATGACTTGTCTAAAAGAATGGGAAATTGCATCACCTCAATTCGCAGTCCATGTTTTCTGAAGCTTCTCAAACGGAATGGTGCAAACCATTTGATTTTCGAACCTGAATTTCCAGTTTTCCAATGTAAATGGTATTTTAAGTACCCCTGGTCACTTTGGCACAAAGGGATGTGCCTATAGCAGAGTTATCCTTGCAGTATTGGTGTTGGTGAGGAGAGTTTCAACTGTAATAAATACCGGTATGTACTTTTGATATTTTCAGCAAAAAGATAGTGAAACTATTCAGACACAACAACTGCGTGAAAAGATAGATGATTATGAAACGCAGATAGAAGACTACAAATCAGAACTTGATAAAGTCAACAAGGTAGGGGACACTTTAGTCTATATAATTTTTCATTCCCCTACATGTTCATGAAAAGAAAATAAAATGAATAAAAATTACATGTACTTAATTGAATTGTCCCTCCTTATGGGGCTTTTCATGTACAATAAAACAAATTACTTAAATGGAAGATAAAAGGGTTGAGTGTCCCAACCAGTGGGGGGTGATCCGTTGGCTGTTTACAAGTGTGGCCAAGAACATGAACTTGGGACTACGCAAACAAATCCAGCCAGTGGTAAGGGTGGGACTTGAACGTGGGGCCCTCCAATTACAAGTCCAGTGCTTTTACTACTTGGCCACATGTACTGCCTCCTTACAAAAGAAGTGAGTGAGTTTATGAAGCTGTCCATTCGATGGACCAGAGATGAAGGAGCTATGCCATCACTGATGACAAGAGTGAGAAAAGAACAAGGCTCTTCCTGTGATATCCTTCCTGATTAAGAAAGTGAGGTAGAGGGCAGGGGACACATGTGTGTTATTTATTTATACACCTGTACAGCCTGCGAATACGGCCATCTCCTCCTGTTCCTTGCCGCTAAGGACATTTTGCAGTGCTGACCTCCCTCCTGGTGAAATGTCCTTTGCGGCAAGGAGCCAGGGTAGAGAGCTGCTTTCGCAGGCTACTGACTGTTCACTCTGAAGACTCTGCTCTCCTTCTTTCACTCTTAGGGTCAAAATGTACCAACTTTTTTGTCTGTTTTATCTTGTAGGAGCTGGAGCAACTACGCTTAGACAACCAGCGGCTGAAAATCGAAAACAGCTCTTTATTACGTGTTATATCGGTAATGAAACCAAAGTAGTCTTCACCATGGTGTATTACTCATTTCTTTGCTGGGCTGCTGTAGAATTATTTTTGTTAACTGATTTAGTGAAATGGACGGCCCTTCTGCCAGAACTGACTAATTTGCCACAGTATCAGGAAGACAAGATGGAATTCTGCTTAAGAAAGCACTTTGCTAGACTGTTTTACTGTCATGTACAGTAATGACTTGCTGCAGAAGAGGCATCGAGTTGCTGTTGTGGATTATTTTCTGTGGTTTGCACATATATAACTTTAAAAGTTATAGGATGGATTTTTTATGAAGTATATAATAATCTTTAGTTTGACTTATATGTAGGTAACCTTCTGTAGGGAGAGAAAACACAATTACTTTAGCTGAAATCCAAAGAAATACCAGAGATATTCCATGCTGTGGTCTGTGAGACTTGCACTGTTCTGTTTTCTTGAATGTAGATAGATTAAGTAACAGCTTGTCCTGTTAGGTCAGTAGATACACTTTAAACCGGACTCTACAAAAGCAGCACCCGTCAGAAGGGTAAGCGTTGTCTTACTGAAATTCTGACTCATGAGACTGAATTTTATTTCTCGTGAGATTGTCAAGGCATGGTAAATGCTAAAAGAACATGGCAAAGTAGTGCTTGGTGTTCACACGGTTGTAGTTCTTTGTTGGTGGAAAGAATTATATCAGTGACCCTTTGGTCCACGCACGACTGTTCTTCGTGTTTCAGTTCCGTGCAATGTTTGAAGTGTTCATTTTACTGACCAGAATTCAGAGCAGTCTGTTATTTCTTCTCAGCTCTTCCTGGTTCTCAGAAATGTTTTAGACGACAGCTCCTCGCAGCTTCGTAGAGTGTGTGTTTGTACATGTACGTGTATGTGTTGTCTACCCCCTGTGCAAGTCTGAAAGTTTATTCCTACATTGTAATTGAATAATTCACGGACTATGAAAAAATATATATTACTTAAAATATTGCCCGCCTTTGTTGAATTACGGGCAGTTTACTTCGTAGAAAGTGGAGGTTTTTTTAATGCTGTAGGGTTTCGAAAATCGATTTATCACGGCATAAAGAGATTTGAATTGAGATGTTGAATGGCTTGTTTGGGAAAAACAAAAAGATGCTGGCATTTGTTTATAAACAGCTCTCGCTTTGTCACTTTGTATAAAATAGAGTCTTTCATTTGCGTACTCTTTCGTTGCTCTTGTTTCAGTGGGCGCGCAATGCCATTATTGCGTGAGATGCACATCTAGGGTCACTTTTACCAATGTAATTTACAAGTGTAACTATTGTTTGAAAATAATAACTGCACTTGTAAGAGTTTTTCTGAGTTGACCTCAGGATAGATTCTGTTACCAACAACTCGTAGCATTTCGAATTTAAAAGTTTTGAGAACTTAGAAAGCGCAAGTGGAAAAAATCCTTTAGAAAAAGAATTTTTTTATTAAAAGTTTTAGACGGATACTTGTCAAACGTCGTCATTTGCCGTTGCAGCGATTTCTTAATCGTGTGTGGCAGATTGATCTCCTTCAAACCACATCTTTGGTTCCATTGTCTTTTTATTTTATTTTACACTGAAGCAATCTTTTTTGAGCTCTTCCTTTGTCCTCGTTTCTCTAGTTTCAGTTATTTTAACAATGACTCTTTAATGTTATATTTTTGTATTATGTTAGTAAATACAATTTCAGTGATTAAACAAAGGAAACTTGATATTGTCTTCTCTGATTTTTGAAAGGTCTGGCTCAGCAAACCAGGAAACTTGGTTTGAATTAAAGCTTCGATCAATCGATCTCGACATTGTCCGAACGAAACCTACGCTTAACACAAAAAGGAATGGATAATTAGCAGTTATCTGATGAGGCTGAGTATGATCTGAACAATTATCCTTCGAGATCAGCATGATTCTTCAGATCTAATAACTGTTGTACTGTATTGGTCACTCCAAATAAATCTTACTCGAATTTGTCAGTTCCTTGGCAATGTTTATAGTTTAGCAGATATTCCTCAAATTGCAGTTGGCATACGTCGAGTTGAAGTTTTGTTGTCCTTGTTATATTTTCAGGTAAAAATCTCGCTATTTCTTCCGACGAAAACGTAAGCAACTTCCCGCCATATTCTCAAAGTCTACTCGCACAACCCCGTACCCTTTGCCCAGTGTTTCTCGGTTACTCATGCGCAATGTCGTCCAACTGCGTTTGGCTGCAAAGATTCTGCTGATGCGTAAAAGAAACCACGCCTTTCTCCTTCTTGCGATCGATCTTGCGTAAAAATGGCAGCTTCCGGAGGATATTTATCAAAAAACAAACTCGGTGACTGAATGATAAAGCAATTATTGAACTCGGTTATCGCAAAATGTCGTAATTTATTAGTGTCTCGCAGATCAATTATTTGCCGAAGCCAATCTGCTCGCCACTGATAAATCACGATATTTTGCTCAACCTCGTCCATTGATTGTAAATTATTGACGCCATTTGGAGGATATCGCAATCGTCTTCCGTATACTGCTGGCTATGAAGGATTAGGGGATTTGAGCCAATTGGAAACGGCGAAATCTTTTGAGTGATTAGTAATGTTTATTGTTTCTCCGGTACTGACTGGCTTAATCCACCGGTTAATTCTAATTCTGAACAACCAGTCACTCGCTAAATTTGGAAACTATGACAAAGTTATTCCATCATTTACGATTGACGTCAGTCGTAAAATGACAAAAATTCTTGGACGGTTGGCGTCACGTTATGACAGCGTCTTTTCAGAAGCTCGGGAAAATAGCGCTCTACGTAGACGAAAAAGTCGAGATTTTCCGCATAAAGAATCGTGGAGGTTCTTATAATTGGTAACCTTTCGTGCACCTTGTGTTGCAACCATGCCCGGTGCAACAAAACTGCGACATAATGCACGTTCAGCAAAAGTAAAATTAATTGGTGTTACAAGGCATTGTACACCAAATTTGGATCGGATAGTATAAACCTCCGCACGTGGATAAATCTCTATCCAGTGTATAAAGCAATTGATCTCCCTAACAGACCTAGTACGTATCCAGTGGCTCATGCTTGGGATAGTCTGCGTCTTAGATGTTTATTTTTTCTAAGTTCACAACCATTGAATGGGAAAAACAAGAAAGAAAGACAGAAAGAATGAGGAAATGCGCTGAAAGGCCGACTATCAGCTGAGTGTTAATGTTAAGGGCTGTTCTAAACGTGGAAACACTTTTGCGGAAATGTTTGTTTAATACAGTCCCCAATATACTATACAGTTTGTGGAATGCCGTTAGCAAGCAATTCAGTGATAGTGGCTGTCGCTAAAACTTAAACTAAAACCTCAACCTCGACCTGTCCAGTCATTCTCGCGATCCTTCGATTGCGCCCACAAACCACATTTGGACGCGGTTTTCTTTTCATCGAGAACCGCAAAATTACATTCAGTAAGGGTCAAGTGTAACATGCCTATCCATCCGCTTTCCGCAATACTTTAATAAATCTTCTTTGAGAGCAGGTTCTCCTGGTATTCATGCATGATACCTCAACAGCTATAAATAGACTTTGTTAGTTTACTTCGTACTGTGATGCTATTTAGACTATGCACTATAAACAAAATCTCGCACAAAACAGGCGCTTTTCTCAGCGGTTGCATCCTTTCAATAATTATGACTTGTTCAAAGTTTACGGCTGAAAAGGTAGTACGGATGACTTCTAGGTTAGTTTTTGGAGTCGTTTTTGTCTCAGGGGTAGTTTTTGTCTGTAACAGTTTCGTGACCCATGCGAAGCCGATCTTTTTTGAGAACAATGAATGTGAAGTGACTGGGTTAAATACTTACATGTAGTTACTCATAATGATGTAAATGACTATCCTTGTGTTTTGATCACTACCAGGGTCGGATCTAGGGGGAGGGTCCAGGGGCGTGCACCACCCCCCCCCCGAGATACCTACGTCCACACTACCATATATGCCATGACAATGCCGAACCGAACCAAAGGGGAAATGCTTTAAATTTTTTGGTCAAATTTTCCATACGGGAATGGAGAATTTGTATTAGGATACTGGTGCTTAAAGAGTTGAAACTTTCTCGGGTTGAGCAAGGATATGGTTTTAGCCGTTGAACTACGTCGACTACTGAGTATAAACAGGATCATTGTTTTATATTCTTTCGTTATTGAGTGCTTAAACAGAAATTCGTCACGGGCTACTTTGATAAAGTTTTAACCTGCCTGCAGCCCGCAGGACTTAGTTACTATAAGTGTTCAAAGAAATCTAAATGTACAGTTAGACGAGTTAAATTTTCTACCTTTTGCCACACACTCTGGTTCCCATGCTCATCATAAACTAAACGTCTAAAGCAAAGATTTGATCTCAATGATTAGGTAAGGAAAACGGTACATATCTGCCTTAGCCGACTGGAACCTTCAAATCTGCTGCTCACTTAACTACGTGAAACTCTTCATCGAACTTAAGGCGTCTCTGCACGTCTTGGACTTCTCTTTTTCTCATTTTTCCAGTTAAACAGGGAATTTCCAAACTTTTGTTTCTTTTTCTCTATCTGCGGGTTAGAGTTCTTTCGTTTTTCCTTCTCTTGTCTCAAGTATTTCTTGTGGAGAGAAACTTTACGGAACACCACGTTCAACGCTTGCTGAACATTGTCATAGTTTTCTGCAGCAGAAACTTCGAAAAACATACAACCAAGCTGCTCGGCAGCCGACTTGCCTTCTTTTGTGGTTACTGAAAATAAAGCAAAATACATAAACAAGTAAATAAATAAAAAAATAAATCAATATAAATCAATAAATAGATGAACGTATGGACGGATGGGTGGGTAGATAGATCGTCAGATTGATAAATAGTAGAGCTAACTTAAGGTCAGGCCGAATTTTAGAAGCACCCTTAAAAATGATTGTCAAAAAATATCCCGATTTCTAAAGGTAACATTGTTTTATCACGAAGTACAAATCGGGACCACCGTTTTGGCTGCAAAACAGTTTTTTTCCCCCTCAAAATCGGTTTAGTGTAGCGTAAGAGTAGCGTTGCGCGTACTTGAATATGCAAAAATACCGCGGACTGTTTTGCAGTCTACGTTTTTATGTTCCCTACTGTAGATCGGACGGCCATTTCTGCATGGTCATCCGTGCCACGTCATCTAGCCTGCCGTTTGCGAGAGAAAATAAGTAACTTATCTCAGCGTAACAAAGGAGGGTAGTGGTTGCCTGGTTGGCTGCTTTTGCGAACGTGAGAAAAACCTGATCACGTTAAATACCACGGGACTTTCTGGAACGATTTCTCATAAGTGTTTACTCAATACTATACCATATGGTCCTTTAGTGTGTCAATTACCTTACATAAAGCTCTATCTTACACTTAATTTTTCAACTTGGTTTCAAACAATTCGATTTCTGCCTAGGCACCGGGTGATCTGTTTTAAATAGCCAGACCCTGATTTCGTCATACGCTTCTGAAGAATAACTCAGATTTTGGTGTTGTAAAATCACTTTAAGCCGTTTTTGAGTCGACGATATGGGGTTGCTATTACGTCCAAAATGGCTTCTTTTCCGCCCTCTTTGACGGCCGGCGATGTCTACTTTCTTAAGCTAATACCTTTCCTGAAGTGCTCCAAGTCCCTTTTGTTTCCCACTAAAGCAACATGAAGTTCATCCGTGCCTTTGCCATCGTAAATTGCCTCCACTAACTGTATGGCGTTATTAAAGCTTTTTTTGTCCGTAATAGAGTAAACTACGAGAAATGCATCTGCCCATCTGATGTCCTTGTCAACTTGAGAGACATCACCCTGCAGTAAAACGTTCAAAATATCTGTGTCAAACGTCTTCTAACATTAGTATTTTTATGCTGAATACGATCGTAAAGGACGGAATATAATCCACTAGCGTTAATTTGTACACACTTTTGAAACTTCGAGGCATCGACACTCATGAAACGTGGAAATAGTTTTAACCGGCTGATTTGTATACGACCCACGGCGCGAGCAAGCAAGAAATCAGTTTTAAAAATACATATGCTGGATAGTGTTACTTGAATTCAAATAGACAGTGTCCAGTGAAAACCAACCTTAAATTTTCCATTCAACCACGTTCGCACTCGGCAAAAAGGACTAATATCGAAAGAACTAACATCAAGATATGATTCTCAAAAAAAGCTTTGAAAATGAATTAATTACGTCTTTTGAGCTCCTTTTGGGGAATGGTAATAACAACCTAATATTAGGCGGTCGTAGAGTTATTCAAATGCTTGCTCTTTCTCAGTTTTAGAGCTCTCCCACCTATTTTAAAGCCAGCCGGCTGCCGTTCTGACAACACTGTCCCAGACGCCCCAGCTGAATGCAGAAGAAGAAATTTATAACAATTATTTATAAAAACTAATTCACATGTTTGACGGGCCGGGCCAGAAGATATTGCTGTAACTTTTAATCATTGAAATAACTATATACACTGACTGCCTCTGAGCGGTAATACCATATTCTGATTTGCTACTCCTCAAAAAAGTTTCTGGAAAGGAGGACTTTCTCTTCTTTATATTTTACGTGTGGGAAGCTCGATTTGATAGAAAATTTGACAGTTTGCAGTTACTCTATAATTGGCCTTTGTAAGTTAATTTTTCCGGCTTTATTATTTTTTCCTTGGTTTCAACAGATCGGAGGGGAGATAGCAGGAATGGGGTAGTCGTGTAATTAGGAGGTCCTCTCTAAGGAAATAACAAGAAATTGTAGTACTTCAAAATCGCCTCGATTTCAATCAGGCTCATATACTAGAAACAACTCCGCCAAATTAGTATAGACCCGACATAATAGGCCTCTTAAAATAGTCCTCGATGCTTTGAACAACCGAAGAGTTAATTTTAGAGCATGACAAAACATGTTCAGAGCAGAAATAAATAAATGAAAAAATCTACTGAAAAAGGGATCTATTTGATCAACCAACCAAAAATGCGCGATATTCTCCAGAAAACCTTCCCAAATTGAACAAATGCTTGTGAAAGGCGGGTTGAATCTGGTCAAAGATAAATACCGGTAGTAGTTATTTTCTTGACGTTAAGAATATTAATGTAAAACTGTGACTGATGAACTGTCACATGCTTCCAAATTAGTTTTGATATCGTTTTGATTGTTTTTTCCATTTATTTCCTGTTGCAATTTCATGAAATTCTCTAATACCAGTGTCTGATTTATCCGTTACTACACCAGTTCACAAGCAAAAGAGTTAACATGTAGGTGAGTCGGTAATGAAGGTGATAGTTGAGTGAAACTGAGCTACAAACCAAAAACTGTGATTATAATATGATTCATATCGAAAATACCTCTTATTTGCATATTTTGATTATACAATTCGTTGTCTTGTTTTCATTTTGTGACTTGAGTCAAGTCGTGAGTTGCTATTTTGGGTTACAACTTTTCGCTCTTCGCCGGTTTTTTCAACTTCTTCCAAGCTTTAAATCCTGGCTACACAAGGATTATTTAAACCAGATGAAATCAAGGACTCCTTTCCATATAAGGAGAATATAAAACACCTGCGACGTGTCACAGTGAAGACAGCACATGTTTTGAAATGGTTTGCTAGACCAACGCAAACGCATCATCGCTGCGGCGGCCAGTGAAAAAAATTCACTTCGAATATTGCACTGAATTTTGTTTTGAGAAGGAAAGTTCTAAAGAATTAGCCGACGTTGTACTGTAATCTCGTGGGGAAAGCTGATTTAACAAACAAAGGCAGATTCTTATATAAATGTTTAGCGAAAATAATGGATCTGGAAACAAATCGAAAGCCTCCAGGCGAAAATTATCAAGGAAATTTGTACAAAAGGATGGACGAGTTTCGTCGCCAAGGAGTGCTTTGCGATACGATTCTCGTGGTTGAAGGCGAAGGATTTCCAGTCCATAAAAATATTCTAGCTGCAAGCAGTGCTTATTTTCTCAGTTTGTTTACATCGGACATGAGGGAAAAACAGCAAAATGAGGTGAAACTTGAAGGCTTTAAATCATTTGTTATGAACGACTTGCTCAATTATATTTATACCGGTGAGGTTGAAATTACCGAGGAAAACGTTAAAGAGCTGGTGTTCGCCGGCGACTACCTGTTAATCGACAGCCTGAAGGACAAAGGGAGTTTCTTCTTAGAAAAAACACTCAGTCCTTCCAACTGCCTGTCTGTCAGGGCTTTCTCTGAGAAATTTGACTGCGAAGATCTTATGGATAAGTCTGAAAGGTTTATTCTCGATAATTTTGTGGCTGTTTCAAAGTCTGAGGAATTTCTTCATCTCGGTTTTTCCGAGATAGAGAAACTTATTTCACTGGATGACGTCATCGTGGAGTCCGAAGAACAGGTTTACGAGGCTGTCATTTCGTGGGTCAAACATGACGCGGAAAGCAGGAAAGAAGAGTTCGCTGCTTTGCTTTCCAATGTCCGACTGGGTTGCATGTCTAAATATTACCTCGCAGAATACGTTGAAACGGAAGAACTGGTAACTGGCAGTCTGGACTGCACGAAGTTGCTTTATGAAGCCATGAAGTCATTTGCCTTATTTGGAGCACAGAGCAGGTCAGACAGCGACATTTGTAAATTGCGTCGCTGCTTGGACTCAAATGTAGAGGCGATTATCACGATTTGGGGTCCTGGGGACGAGCTTCGTTCCTCCACTCAGTGTTACGTACCGGCTGTCAATCAATGGTTCAATTTGGCGCCAATGCTGATTCCTCGCTTCAGTCACGGGGCGGTGTCGTGTGAAGGGTTTATTTACACCGTGGGTGGAGTATCTCTGAATGGTCATTTGTCAAGTATGGAGAGATATGACTTCAGGTAGAAGATATGTCATTTAACTTGATGGCCACTTTCAGATCTCCCATAATGCACGTTATTTGCTCCCCCGCCCCGTCCGCCAAAGTTTTGCATAAGTATCGTTTTCAATTTCTCTTAGGAAAGCTGTAATACCCAGGAGAAATGAAAAACAAAGGTTATGCAAAATTTGGGGGGGCGGGGGTGCAAATAACAATGTGCATTATGGGAGATGTGCAAGTTTCGTTTTTGCGATTTATCTTGGCATTCGGTCAGCATTCATAGCGATCCTACAGCAAGGGCGACGACCAAATTTTGTGAAATCTGATAATTCCTCTGTTATAAACTTAAAATTTATTTAGAGAATTATTGATCAAATTTCTTGATTCTTGTTGGATAAGGAAGTTTTTTAAATTTTCAGAAAACAGTGCGGGAATTTGAAGGTAACGCTTCTAAAAAATGAAATGAAAGAAGGAAGTGCTGAAAAGTAAACAAAATTACATTTGGATCTTATTTCCTTATATATTCCTTTAATTTACCTTTGTTATGCACTGTATTTCCCGAAAACTGCATTTCTCTTAGATTGTGATTACCTACCTCGCAACGGGTTCAGGACTACGTTGTTACAAGTGATCACCAGCTGTTTTCGCTAAATTTGGAAGAAAATAAAGCTGTCGACAATAATCAGTTTTTATCCTTCTGAATAGTAATTTAGTGGTAGTAAATGAATTAGTAAAGACGAGAACCAGGCTGCTACGTTAGGTCATTCTTTAATAAGAGAACATAATAATCAAATACTCGTTTTTAATTGTGTTTTTTTTTAAATCACAGGACTAATACATGGGCTGGAGTAGCACCTATGGCTAAGGAGATTTCTGCGCTTGGTGTCGCTGAACTCAATGGCTTTTTATATGCAGTGGGTGGTTGGCACAGAGGGAGACCGCTGAATACCGTACTAAGGTAAGTAGAACTGATTCGCACTGCACACCTATTAGGGAACTTATTAAGCACCAGACGTTCTTGATTCACGAACGGCATGGCTGGCAGCGCAGAACTGGATCGGGGACGCGGTTTACGTGCAAATGCAAATTATTAAGAAAAACAACGTGAAACAATCACGAACGCCGACAGAATAATTCAGTTGAAAATGCCTTTCAAAGATTTGCATCAAGTTTTGTTTCTTTGTTACGAAGAAAACAAGATTTCAGATGAAGAATTTTGTATGACGAATACCCTTCGAAGAACCCAGACTTTGCTGTTGGCCAGAACCTCTTTAGAACCTCTAATTTGATAGGTTCTTGTTGGCCCGAAGCTCTATTGTTTCAGAGTTGGGGTTCATTGTTAGTTTTGTTTGGGTTAGGGATATCTATTGTTTATTAAACCATTCCTGTGAGCCGTTCTTAAAGCTTCCGGCCCATCCAGAATTTGAACATCTGGTTTCTACCTCAGAACTCGCGTGACCGCAGATCAGGAACGTCTTGACATGCGCAGTGGCTGTCATGCTGCAAAAATACTTCCGGTTGGCGACCGTGGTGCTAAGAACGTCTGGTGCTTAAGTTCCCTATTATTCCGTCACGTCCGTGAAGTTATGGAAGGAAACCGCGACTGCCAAGACAATAGGCATGCCGAATAATGGGGGTATGCGACGTCAACCGCCACCAGGGGAGGTGGGAGGGGCGAGACTTCTAAGTCAGGTCTACTGAACTCCGTTGACCTGGCAAAGAGGCGGGCAAAAATTGAGCAAGGGCAGCCGAGCAACGCATCATGTCACTAGCGCGCAGTCTCGACACGAAGGAATTTAAAGAAGTTTCTTTTTTCCCGCGTTACGGGCCAATTATGTATGCAGTGAAAATAGCGGAAAGAACGATTTCAAGATATTGTTATCCTCTCCAAAATAAGAAACTTCAAATATAAATGAAAAAAAAATTGAAGGAACAATCGGCCGTGTGAAAATTGCTTTCACAGCACTTTAAAAACCGAGATTTTAGATAAGAGCTCATTTGGTCCATTGTTATTACCTTGTGAGCAGAATACCTGTAAAGATATGTCATTAATGAGACGAAAAACAATCGAGGGATGTCAAGGTCACCCGAGAGGCTTCTCAGGGTTTTCAAAATGGCGTCCTGCGAGTTGCCTATTAGAAAACAAGAAGATTCTGGGGACGAGGTTGACATGGATCAATGACAAGAAGGATGGTTAGGATAAGCAGTTCTTACATAACCAGAACTTAACTAGAAATTTCGTCATCATAATGATTAGATGTTTGGTTTCTTTATAGGTACTATCCTTCCACGAACGTCTGGGAAGCGGTAACTCCCATGACAACCAACAGAGGAGGGCCATGTGTTGTGTCCGATAAATACCTCTACGCCGTTGGTGGAAAAACAGAAAACGATAACGCAAACGACCCGTTTAAGTACTTGAGCACGGTGGAAAGATACGATCCCAAAACAAACACGTGGCAAGAGACGGCGTCCATGCATGTGCGACGCGCATACGCATGCGGAGTAGCAGTTGGAGGCAGGCTTTACGTGGTGGGAGGGACACAGGATGACTTGTATTCATCGCATAGTTCGTGTGAAGCATTTAACAGCGCAGATGAAACATGGGTGTACATAGCCAGTTTGTGCATTTCGAGAGCGCTAGCTGGCATAGCTTACGTAGGAGACAAGATCTTCGTCCTTGGAGGGAAGAAGAATTCTCGAGAACGGACAGACAAGGTCGAGTTTTATGACAAAGAGTTGGACGTGTGGAAGGTTGTGGGATCAGTGCCTAACTGTATGGGTGGAATACAGTGCTGTTCTGTTTCGCTTTCCAAGGAATTCCTTAATTCCTTAACAAAAATAACTTAATGAATAACTTGAAATAGTCACAGAGTAATTTTGGGGTGAGACAACTAAATAACTATCCTTTTCAATAGTCAGTATAAAGTTAATGCAAAGAAAAAAAGAGAACAAAGGACTCCATAAAGTGCTTTCATTGATACTTACAAACCGCAGATATTTTAAATGTTTTTCTGAAAAAATTGTTATCAAATGCAAATATTATTAGAGTTATTGTTGACTAGTCGCTGAAGATAACAAATTATTAATGGCATAGATCCAGCCGAGCTAAGTATATTTTAAACGTGGCACTGACTAGAAAAACTAGCTTAAAAAACCCGAAAATATAAAGTGGCTTGAATATATATATGACGCAAATAGATCATTAAATCCCAAGGGAGCAACTCTAAATTCGTTAATTATCAGTGAAATGTCTCTCATGATTCTCTTATGCATGCATGTTCTTTGTCGGCAAGCTCATTTGGTTAAAAAAAGCACTTTTCTAGGTATATTCATATTCTTCGCACGTGCTCTAAGTCATTGAAGAGTGATGACAGGCTACTATTTGACATTGAAATATCAGGCAAAATCCAGAAATATTGCCTGAAAAGTGTTTGCAACTTTAAAGTGACTCGATTCCACCAAGAGAGAATTCCACTTAATTTTGCTTTTGGACTTTAGCCACTTATTAAATTGAAATATATAGTTGGGTGAAAAAAAAGAGATGTATCAAAGATGCAACAGAAGAATACAACTACCGGAGGATAAACGTCCTTGGCGGATCCAGAAGGAGGAGAGTCTGGAACCCGAAATCTCCCGCTTTGCCCCCTCTTCATCAATCCCGCTGACCAGAAAGCCCGAAGACTCTGGTTACAAGATTGCCTTCTCATCCCTCTCAACCAAATGCACCCATTTCATCGGCAAGACGAAGATAGATGTTTCCCTAATAATTTTTCCCAAGAGAGAGTTCATTCTCTCTTGTTTGACCCCGTTATCCAAAAGGTGGATAATACTACTCCAGTCGATAGATCTTTGTCCAGTTGATACCGCAAATTTTAGTTTCCAAATCAGTGGATAGCGCTATCCAACATTTGAACATCCGGGCCTTGGTGGCTGGGTGCTTAAAAATTGAAATTGCCACTGAAGAATAGCAAATGAGGACCTATCTAGATAACGTTTACAAAAAAATGATATGTAGTGGCCAAAGTGTGCACACGATCAGCCCCTTTACTTTCACTGTAGTTATATGTTCCACATACGGTTTAAGCATAAAAGAATAAAGAAAGCAAAGATAAAAACTCTAATTAAACACAAGCAAAGAAGGAACATCAAATTCTTACCTTTTCAATGGCGTCTCGTATATCGAACGTAAGATTTTCATCGTCCAGCTTAATTGTGTGATTATAAGTTAATTCTGAAACAAGAAAGATTATATCATTCTGTCATCAATCTCAATAGTAAAACGACAATTCATTCTGAAGAATTTGATAGCAGGCGTGAAATGTATAGTGTTGAATAAAGTGATTTTGACGGTCTCTAGTCATCTAGATGTTGTTGCGCTCCGCGTTTCTCAGCACCTAACGTCTTGATTCATTGGAGAACAAGATGCGACGTAATCACAGGTTATTAATAGCATATATCTAAAACTATTAGTCTTTGCTGGTTTCTTTTCTACTTTTGTGTAATTAGTGACATACGTGTGCCGTGCACTATATGCTAAGATGTTGGATACCACTGAGGGCCCATTGCAGAAATTCCCTTCTTTCACTAAAACGTTACAGATAAGCAAATCAGTTTTCGTCATTCGCGAACCCTGAATGAAGGTCAACGAACCTTGTATTTTACTGACAAATACCGTGCGCGGCCTTGCAACGGACAATCGGGTACATGTTAATCTAGAGTGATAAACTTGGATTTGTTTTAGGCATTTATGAACTCCTTGGTATTTTAGAAGCGTTCATCATTATTTTGGGACATGTAGACAAATTCTGATGCCCTTGAGGAGGAACAAATTAGGATTTGCTTTCAGGCATTTATGCCCTCCTTGTTTTTATTTTAATGCAACGTTCATATTTTATTTTTGGGACATGTACAAACAGAAAGTCATTGGTGAGATGCCCGTAGAGATTTGACTATAACATCGTCAAAAGTTGTTACTTCGACAAAACCTTTTACCCGTGATCTGCAAACGCATCTCTTGTTGGCCCATATATACCAAACGTAACAGCTTTGTTAGCTTGCTTTGTTTCCCAGTGATTTTCAAATAAAGTAATGAAAACTCACCACTTGAGCCTCAAGGCGTGAAATATAACCACTTAGTGTCGAATTTTACTAACTGAACTAAACTATGGACTTAACTTAATTATGAGAATCGACAAGAAGCGCGAGCAGTTTAGGGAACATGGGTTTTTGAAGATCCCAGCACCAGAATGCTCACCAGATTTTTATTTTCGTCTCTCCCTCGGAGGCTGAGTTGGCGATTGCCAGCTCTCCACTTAACTTATAACTTTTACGATGCTTTTCTTCCCACCGCGAAAAAATGTAAACTGTGTTTATCTTTGGTGCCTTGTGTTTTTAGGGTTTTAAAATCAAATTCTGTCACAGCTCCTTTAAATTGTCCTGTTATCATGGTAACCTGTTACGTCACAAATATGTCTATGTCTTGTTCTCCAATGAATGGCTTTTATTAATTAATGCTATTAGTGTAATAGCATCGCTTAATTAGTGGAACTATTATACCACCAATTAAAAGTAGAAGTGCATGTCGAAAAGCGCTGCAAGCTATTGCCATTCTGCTTGATTTAAATTTTCAAGTGCCCTCTTGTCTTCCACAATACAAAAGGTGTTGCTTCAATTTCTAGATCTATTTCCGTCGCTTTGTCAAATAGGAAAAGTGGTCCTTTAAGACGTAAAGGACGTAGACGACAACACAAAAGGCCAAATGATTTAATAAGAAGGCTCCAAAAGTTATTAATACGATGAAATATAAACACAACTTACGCATAAGCGATTGATACTCGCCGATGAATCTCTTCGTCAGGAAACGAACAGTTAAGGCTAAAAAAGCGAAGCAAAAGAAGGGTTATAATTTAATTTTGAAACGATAAGATAAGCTTATTGTACTGTGCAGAGGTAGCAATTAAATTAGTGTGTCCATTAGACTGATTACTCAGAATAAGTTGAGATGGATCTGATCGATCGCCCTATATTAGATAAATGTATGTAGATCAGTATTCGCGAAAGGACTGTCAACCTGCAACCTGAACTAAAGAGGGGAGCTAGTTTAGACTGTGACTCTTGTCGAATTTAAATCTTGACGTAAACAAATGTATGAAAACAGTTCATATTTGTCAGAAACAATAAAGGAATGACCCTGCCAGACACTCCAGCTTATTCAAACTCAAACGTTATAGAAACTGCCCTAGGCATTGACTGTATAGAATTTATTAAGTTAATATGACCCCTAAGATGACGTATTTTACTTACAAAATAATGCTTTTAATATATTGTTAGAGAGTATTACAACACATTTGATCTCGCAACTAAAGAAATTGTCGTGAGATGGGTGATCGCTGGGGTTTTTTCTGCTCCTAAGTTTTCTACTTTTCGCCGCGTTTTAGTAACATGAACAACATGGTTTGCTTTTGTTTTACGTAATATTTGAATTTTATGCTGCGTAAATGTTTAAAAAATGTTGACAGTAAAACTGTTATTTAGAAAACTGTTCCTTGATTTTGGAACGTTTTAATGAAAACCACAGTCTTCGCCATTATAATGCGATTTGAAGATTGGACTATTCTAATCACTGCCCCTGTACAACTGTGTTGGCTTTATGAGCGGGCAAGACGAACGCCACTGCCGGCTATGATTATTGTCCGTTGCGGTTTCACTGAGTTTACCGTCATCTAAAAGGAATTGCCATAAAAGCCGTGAAGATCCGGCATTACTTCCTCATCAGAGATTTATAGCAACGTTGAATTAAAGTTTCAGACTTAATAACTCTGTAGGAATGTTTCGCGGGTAATCAGCGACAAGTTTTCATGTCGATCAAAACTTTGAAAAGTCCTACCAGTGACTGCATTCATGCATGATCTAATCACAAAGAGCATAAATTCTCTTACCCGATTTCCCGACGGCTTTACTTCCAAGCACCAAGAACCTGGCCTCAGCGGGTACTATAAACGAATTCATTTATAATTATGAAAAATCATGACAAACGATTTTCACTTCGACGCTTTGATTTCGGCGTCAGAAGAGCTTTTAAATCGCATTCCTCTTCAAACTCTCAGCATGGCTCATGCCCGGGAGCTATGCATTGAAAGCATTTTTTGAAAACTTTATTATCAGAAACAATATATCTGTGTCAATTTCTATGTTTTGGGTACTACTCTAATGACGGGGGGCACGCGGAAAAATGGAATTTTTTGATAGTTGTTACTATAAACATTTCCATTTGAAAAGAATTCCATGCAGTGAAGTACGTGCGTGTTTGAAGGCTCTTTCTCAAGATAATAACGTCAATTGACCGCACTAATCCTTAATTTTGTTTTGAGATCCCGTTTAGTTGAGTGGCGTTTTAAATTTGGGGTATTTTCAGGGACACCCGATAACATCTTAATTGATTACATAGTTTATTAGCTATTTCATTTATAGCGTGAAAAATAAAAGAAAGAGAGAGGGAGATAGAGATAGGCACGGTGTTGCTTTGAGTGAAAAAATTAATAACATTAAGTTCTTTGCTGCAATTAAAAGCTAACGCTAAAGCATTTTTTTTAAGTCATGGCCTCTAGCCCCAGTTCTCCATCCTATTTTCATGACCTAAGAGACCTGGGGACTAGACTGGTTCCCATCAACGTTACTTGTACTACGGAAATATCTAGTTTGCAAAACGCGAGTTTTGTAATAATATTTCGAATATTAACTTTCCCCCTTTGGTGTAAGCAAGCAACAGTAATCATCTGTTCGTAATAGGCGGTTTCATGGACAGATTGGCCGTAAAGTAACGAGGTGAATTCACATACAGTGGCTTTGGAGAAAACAACAAAAAAAGTGACTTGTCCCTTCCTTTGCAGCTTAATTTTCCTTTTAAAAATTATTTGCGTGTACTTATTAAGAAAAAAATCAACTGTGGGAGAAGGGGAGGAAGTTGGGGGGGTGCGCGGGGTGGAGTTTTGAAGCGTTTTAATTATAAGTGGCTATTCACATGATCGCGTTATGACTTTCATTTTGGGACGAGTTCATTCCATTCTCTATATATTTTTCTGTATTTGTTTACATAAATGACGACATTTCGTTCCCGTACAAGTCATTCCGGAATTAGTTCATTCCGGTTTTTACTCAGAATGAAATTCTCGTTCTGGTATGAAATTTCATCCAGGTATCATTGCAAATCGTGTAGTCTGGAGCGAGTGCGCATGCGTATCTGGTCTGGCGCAAAAACGACGCGAGCGAGAACGCCTTAGGCTGGGCCGTTCGATTTTATCCCGTGAATGCAGCACGAACTTCACTCTGGAACGAAACTCACTCCGGAATGAAATTCATTCCGGCATCATATAAATAGCCCCTTAATTTACTGATACACTACGAATTTTAATTTTCGTCCCTTGCACTGCTCCCGTAGCACAGTCGGTTAGAGCGTCGTACTTATAAGCAGTACCGGCCATATAGCCGCCGAGGGTGCTGAAGCAATGCGAAGGTCGCGGGTTCGAACCCCGCCGGGAGCATTTTTTCTTTTTTAAAAGAGACATAGTTTTTGTTTTTTACGTTATTTATTTAACTAGCATACCTTTTTGCAAGTCCGCCCAAAATAAAAACAACAAACACTGTTGAGGTTTGTGTTAGGTTTTCTTCCTAGATTGCGACCTAAGATTCACACGTTAGCTGGTGCATTACAGTACCTCCCATTAATAAGAAAATAATAGGAATGCACGATTACGTTACAAATAAACTTCTAATTGTTTTTGATGAGGCAAATTTTAAATTACACTCTTTGTACAATTGATCCCACCATCGGAGCTTTGAAAATGAAACTGATATGACTTTACGCAGCGAAGTTGGTAAAGAGACAAGCTTTTTATTAGGAAAATAAACAAAAGCGTGAACATAGAGGCCTAATTTATCCCAAACGTGAAAAAAGTTTCAGTCAAGTTAAGCGTGAAATCAGAGCACGAAAGCGCAATAGATGTTTGGTCATTTTGACACGACAGCGCAATGTATCTTAGGTCATTTCGCCGTATGATAGTTCACCAGAGCTCCACGCAATTTTACCATTTCTTAATTCAGTTCGTTAGCGCGCTCCGACATACTGCCAGAAAATGAAGTCTGGACAAACTTTTAAAAAGTGAAAAAGAATTTTATACTCCCATTTTCGTAATTCCGATCCTTTGCTCACTCAAAGAAATTAATCTTTGCTATTGACTGAAAATAATCTGTAAAATTTAAACCTTAACCTGTACAAACGTTGTGGCCATTTACAACTGAGTAAGAAGTGAACGACATGGCATTTTACCGTCACTTTTATTTTTTATTTACTTATTTGATTTTCTTTAAAAAGGAATATGGTCATTCTCTCGTAAGGCTTCTTTTTGTTTGCCACCTACAATCATGGACAAACGTCCTTGGGACAGTAATGCAATATTCGTATTTTTCTGTCATTTATGGGTTACCTCATAAAACAGTGCACCCTTTTCAAAGTTTTTCTTGCAGTTCTCCCTCCTCCCCACCTTATACAAAATTAAAACCCGATAAAAATTATGGATACACGCGTCCAACTTTGTTTGTGGGGTGAAGGGAGGGGCTGGGCCTGTGTGAATTGGGAAACGCCCTAGAAATGTATAAGTGTCCCAAGACTTTTGTCTATGATTGTAGCTAAAACGCATATTTTTAGACCATGGCAGAGTGGCCGTGAATTAACGAGGTGACGTATGAAGGAAGAAAAAGCTTTGGGATTTCACAATGTGGCCTTTGATTGCGTTAATGAAGTTTTCTTATCGTATTGCCACTCAGATAAATTCTCTCTAGTCAGCACTACTTTGAGGGTCCCCAATCGCCGGGTTTCTCGGGATCCTGGATTTCCCTTATTTGAACTCCACGTTTCAGGATTTTTAAGCCAAATAAGGGCGAAATTCGGGATTGAAAGTATGCAAGGGATACGGTAAGCCGGAAATAACCATCGGGATTACGGGATTGAGGGAAAATCTCGGACGGGATAAAGGGATTGAAAGCTTCTATTGTGGTGCCTCTTCTTTAGCGAACTAATAAGCCGTTTCCGGAATTTTACAAAAAAAATTGAGCTTAGTGTTTTTGAAATATGTGGTCTGAGGCTACGGTCCCACGGCACCAGACGGGTGTCAATAAAATTCGGGGCTAGGGTTTGGGTTAGGGTTAGTGTCAGCCCTAACCCTAAAACAGCATTCTTTGAAAAAAATAAATAAATAAAAAATAACTAAGATAGACCCAGAACCCTGCCCCGACCCCAACCCCACCCCGCGTTTTACTGACACCCGCATCAGACGAATTTTCGACAAGCTGGAAATTTTTGCACCAGTTAGGTGTTCCATTTACACTGAACCACCCTAAAATTTAAACGCCTGACCGTTCAAAAATGTAAACGCCAAAATCGAGTTCAAATGTTTTAGCCAGTATGGACGAAAATGTAACGAGGACTGTGTGAATACCATGACTGTTTAAATTTTTGTACCCTATAGATGCGTGGCTGCGTGGATGCGTCGTAACTCCGCTCGAGGATGCATGCCATTTTGGATTTGCTATAGTAGCACAGTACGCAAGGGAAGATGGCAAAACTACTAAGGAAAGTTAAAGTGAGTACTTAAAAAAGTTAAAAATTCAATCTGGTCGGTCAGAAGCTAATGAAAAGAGAAAAAAAAATTTGACCCGTTCAATTTAATCGACGTGTCCTGTCAAATTTTTCACCGCAGTTCGAAAATTCGTCTGGTGCCGTCTAAAGGTAGCCTGCGAGTTAAATGGTCAAGGTTTCTTTTTTCTTGTCCAATAATGTCTTTGTTGTTTCAGAAACATGAGTTCCAATCCCGATTTGAGTTCTGAATCAGAGGGTAAATATTGATCCTCCACGAGCTCATCCTCAAAGTCAGCCTCCGTAAGTTCCACTTCATCTTCAGAAGTAGTAAAGCTGCTTCTTCTTGAAGATGCGGAGGCTGTGTATACAGCTTCATCCAGTGAGTCTACCTTGACTCCATCACGGTTTGTCCTGATGTGTTTAATTACAACGATACCAATCACTACTCCCAGGATTACTATGGCCAGCACTATCCCAGCTGTGGTCACCACTATTGACGTGGTATTTTCGCGTTCAGGAACCTGGAGATTTAAAGGTGAGAACTGTATAGATTTGACTGTCGGTTAGTGAATCAACGAGATTACAGAAAAGGTAATTAGTTCAGTGGTCGATAAAGGAACCATATCTACAGAAATAAATGTAACTGATGATTAAGATGCTTTTTGGAATACTAGGAAAATGCTTACTAGCCAACCAATTGACCTTACAGTTAGTCAAGGGTCCCTCAATTGAGTTGCTTCTTGACATATAGGCAATTAGATTGTCACTCATTCAAACAGACGCATTGTCAGTGAGCGAGACAGCTAATCAGTGAGGCAATCACTCAGTGAATCAGTTAAACAATCAACTAATCCATCGATCGATCGATCGATCGATCAGTCAATCAATCAATCAATCAGTCAACTAATACGTCTGTCAAAAGCATAGTAGTCACTACGTTGACACCCGGGAGCCCATAACATAGTGAATCGATCAATCAATCATTCAATCAATCAATCAATTAATCAATCAATCAATCAATCAATCAATCCATCCATCCATCCATCCATCCAACCATCCATCTATCAATCAATCAATAAAACTAATCAATCACTCTCTCACTCACTCACTCAATCAATCAATCAATCAATAAATCAAAGTAATCAATAAATCAGTCAATCAATCAATCAATCAAATGAGCAACCATTTACTCCACCATGTAACACTAGAATATAGGTAAGGCAGACAAAGGGGTCGATCGTTGATAGTCAATCAATCAGTTGCTGAGAATAATAAAAGTAAGCTATCCACCCCATTCGTGAGCCTCTCCCTCCCCCTTAAAAAAAGAGAAAAGAGAGTACGCTGAACCCGTTATCTCGATGATGGTCCCTGTTTAAGCTTAAATAAGTTAGCAAAAAATTTACGGTGATTTATACTGACATACCCTGATTGTTTTAATGATGGTCTTTGTTCTCTCGTTTTTATTTGTTTCTTTATTTTGCGGAGCGGTACTAGCGAGGAACTCATCCATCATTTTTTCAGAATTCCGCAGTTTCTCTAATTCCTCCGGTTTATCGACGTGTTTCTCTTGGGGATTTGCTTTGTGTTTATGGAATCCATTTTTCTTGGAAGAATGCTTAGTTTGGTCAGCTGAAAAAAGATAAAAAAACACATAAAGTAAGATATTGAAGTACATATATATGACGTTAAACACCAGCCCAACGACTAGCCGGTAATCAAATCTGGTTATCAAATGCACTGTAAATTAAAACTAATCGAACATGAGGCCAATCAGATCCTGAACTAGAGAGAATTATGAAAGGACTCTTTTCAGGCAACAAAATCATTATCTTGTGCTCATTATGTCAGTCTGGTTCACTTCATCTGTGCCAAATGTAATAACGAATCTAGAACTAACCGCAGTAGGTTTCCGGGGGAGGCGGGGGTACTTCCTGGTAATAGAGGCTAATTGGGATGTGCCGCTGGATGGGGTCGCATTTACACGACTGGATTGATTATAATGGGGTTGCATTTTCATTAGAGTTACTAGAATGGGATCCCACATTTTTGGGATTTGGGGGATCAGAAAATTCAGGTAGGTAATTTAGGTTTCTGGGAAACTGCCTATCTACCCCTCCCCTAACTCGACGTTAACATTTGCGTCTCACTTGGGCAAAAATGTTGGGTTTAGGGAGGGGTAGGTGGGCAGCTTTCCAGAAACTTAAATTGATCCGTTTAACCAATGTGTCAATTAATTTCAGGATGACCTACAATGGTTAAAAGGTTTCATAAGGTAGATGCATATACCGAAAGTTACTATATATGCTAAGTTGGAATCGCGTAATTTGCATTTTCTCAAAAGTGACTAAGATGGGGTCTATATTTGGCCACAAAATAGACCATGATGGGGTGGGGATTCCGAGGCCAGCGGCACATACCCATTAATTTTAACCCAAGTAATGCCTGGTTCTCATATGCCTCCGATGTACCTGCAACGTAGCCGCGGGTGCTGCCTGCGATACTACTCCGACATATGAGAACATAACGCCGACGGCTCAAGAAACATCGCTGGTCTTTACCTCCGGCATGCCTGCGAAGTCGAACTCGTGTCAACTTTGCAGGCATGTCGGCGGTCAAGACCTGCGATGGCCTCTGTTGCCGGCTACTTGTGTTCTCATATCGGAACAGTATTGTAGGTAGCACCTGCAGACGTGTCGGAGTCTTGTCGCAATGTCGCAGGTAGCTCGCGGGGCACATGAGAGCCGGGCTTATCCGCCTCCCCCCCTTTCCCGGAGTAGGTTTTCCAGCATCAGCGTCAGACCGCTTCGGTATTTGTGCAAGGTGAGACGCCAGTTGCGGAGGGGCCTTTGTGAATCAAGTTCGTGAGCTTGTTTTGGGAAGACCGACGGGGGCTTGACAAAACAAACACAGTATCAGAATACGAAGAAAACTGAATTTGGATCGTTTGCTATTTCCCTCACCTGGAACAACAATGTTATCTTGGTTTTCTGGCGTGTAGTAACAGAGAAAGAACATGTGGTCTTTCTCTGCTCGATGAATACCGTAAGGGTATTCACCTCCTTCGTAATCTATGTTTCCGCGGTCTTCGTCATCAAATTTGACGAATTCTGTGACCACTTTCATCCCTTTTACCTATTTAAGAAAACATGTAAAAATGAATAATTAGTGTTAGGCTATAAAATTGATCGAAACTCGATCTTTTTTTCGCCTGTCAGGAATCTTAAGACTGAATCTTAATAGACTGGCTTGCAGCTCTTGATGGTACAGCTGATCCTGGATCCGTTGTTTAATATTCAACAAATAATATCCAACGGTGTGGGAGAGAACGGTTGTATGGTGAAATTGATTGTAACTAATACCAAGGAGATTGGCCATTTTTTCAATTCTTTCGCGTCAGACTGGGCCCGACGTTGTTTCGAATTACATCATGGGATTTTTTTTACTGATTATTATAGTGAAAACTCGATACAACGAACCTCTATATAATGAAGTCCTTGGTATAACGAACGGTGTTCTTTACCCCAGTTATAGTAAAATATATGAAAAAAAACCTCGATATAACGAAAACCTCCCCTATAACGAACAGATTTTGCCAGTCCCTTGAGCCCTCGTTATATCGAGGTTCCACTGTACTAGGTTGCGAGGGAAACTTGGTGAAAATTCGTCCCCCTAAACAGTCACAAAGTCTAGGATTAAGCGCAGCTTCGAAATAGCCTAGACAGATCGATAGAGAGATTGGGCTATTGTTAGTTTCACCTGCCTACTCCAGGATGAAGAGTACTGCCGCGCGTTCATGGTAACCAATGAAAAAGACTCCTGTTCAGCATTTTAGAATAACAATAAGCGATATGACAGACCTAGAAGCTTTCGCCGACAATAAGTAAATGTCCCGAGAACAAAGGCCATTTCTCCCGATTAGAAGGGCGGAATAATTTTCCGGAATACATAAAAATAACAATCAATGGAAGGAGGGCAGAACAATGCAACAAGTTCTGAGTCCCCGACAAAATTCGAACCTATGACCTCCTAAAAATGGAGCGGGGCGGGGCCGTATCCAGCACTCTACGGAGAGACTTGCGGGGAGCAAGGCCATTTACCATTTACTAGGTTTCGTATAAAACCAATTCATCAAGACTCCTTGCGCACCCAGCTCCCGTAGCTCAATCGGTTAGAGCGTCGTACTTATAAGCAGTATTGGCGGCTGATGTGATGCGAAGGTCGGGGGTTCGAGACCCCCCGGGAGCAGGGATATTTTTTAGTTTTTTTTTAATGGTCACATTTAAATTTAACTTTGCACGATCGACCCTCTCTTAACTTCAAATCGATATCCATACACTTAGATCACTGTTGTTCAGAGGATCGTTACATTTATCCCAGACTAGTCCAAATTTGAATGTAAAAGATTGTGTCTGTAACTTTTTTCCACCTTTCACTCCGACTGAAATAACTGAAATAATTACAATACCAAATTTCGCGTGTAGTAAAAAAAAAAAAAAAATGAACGAGCCGTAATATTGTTAACCTGCAAGCGTCAGTAAATAGCTGTAAAGGACATTAACAGTCACGATAAATTTCCCTTTTTTGTCATAAAATTTCTCTAAACTTAACGCCGTTATTCGCCTCTATACAAACGGTAAGGGCACTGGAGCTGAAATGCGTCCCGTAATTGCTTTCGGGACGTGCACGTCAGCTACTGGCCAATTTTTTTCCCTGTCTCTAGTAATAGTCCCAGAAATCTTTGCGAACGTTAATTCGTTCCAGTTTCCTTCCGTTTCTAAAGTGGCGAATGAGAATTGAAAAACAACTAGCCTGAGAGCAAGCTCTCCGGGGCGCTCTGGCGACGGGGCGGGAAAAAGAAGGAGAACTTGCAACTACGTCTTTGGAATTTGAATATCTGCATCGCGAAAGTCGATGCGAAATGCTGATTGGCGGAGATGACATTAGTAATGACGTCATTACCTTTGGCACTTGATTTTCGATGTTTGTTTACATTCGCGCTCGTTTCCGCTTCGCGCTGATTGGCGGAAATCTGACAGCTCAGTCGACGGGGAGCCACGGGGGAATTGGAGGTGGAATTCAAATTCCGGAAACGTAGTTGCAAGCTCTCCTTTCTTTTCCCGCCCCGCCGGCAGAGCGCCCGGGAGAGCTTGCTCTCAGGCCAGGTAGCTTGCTTTCAGTTACTTACCTTTTGACAAAGTATGGAATCGTAGGCAAACAGTAAGAATGGAGACTTGTTCGGTAAAACAATCTCCTTGTTAGCAGATCCAGAGGTACTGCAACAAAAGAATATTTTGGTGTCTTCGTTATAAAGACCTTCGGGTAGGTCGCCAACTTTGGAGTTTTTATTGTCTTTATTCTCGTCATCCCAAATGACGAATCCCTCTTCAAGTCCCGAGGAACAACTGTGACCTTTCTTGTAGATACAGTACTTGCCATCTGGCCATCTGTGAAAGGTTACATACAAAAGTGTATTAGTTAGATGCAAGAGAGGATAAAGGGGACAGAGAAGGCATCCCCCATACACCCTATTCCATAGGTAATTCGTCTCGAGTTATTTTTAGAATCGGGATAAAGTTACCTTGCGCGCTGCGTGGATGTTTCGTGGAGGTTTCGCACGACTAAACGCCGTGCAAAACATGTCGGGCGAAAGGCAATGAAAGCGTAAAGAGATCGAGGGCATTCCTGAATATTGAAGCGAAGTGGATGGGCGCTCACCAGGAAAAGGGAATCGCTGGACTCTTTGACAACCCGTGAAATCAGTTTAACTCGAAGTTGTCGTAACCTCAGATTTCGCCGGTCTATTGAAATCGGTCGTTTGTACAATAAAGCAAGTAGGACGCCAAGAGTTATTTTTGTTGAATAATAAAAGACTAATAAAAGAATAAATATCAAACCACAAATTGCTCTCTTCAAACTGTAAATTATAAATGATCCTGACAGAATATTCAGTGTGTGAAGCATTTCCCTGCTGTACTGTTGGCTCTATACAAGAGTGGAAGGGCGATTCTTTTTTAATTTCCGTTTCGCTGACACAGATTTAGCAGAAATCTCCCTGAAGTCGTTTTCGTCGACAAAACAAATAGCAATAGCTCTCCGCGTCTTCCGCCATTTTGTTCTGCGTCAATTCGTGAAGGAAGCGTGGCTGTGAGCGTGGGTCATCCACGCGGAACACATTCGCGCAATATGATTGGCTGTTGTCTAATCCCCCTTGGGATCTGTGGTGTTAAAAATAACTCGAGACGAATTACCTATGGAATAGGGTGTGTATGGGGGATGCCTTCTCTGTCTCCTTTCTTGTTAGATGTTAGTTTGTCTCTAAAAATGGTCGCTCTTATTGTCCTCGGTCAGATATAAAGTCGACTCTCTCTAAGACGGACGCCTTTAGGACCAGTGTCCGTCTTAGAGAGGTGTCCCTGTAACAGAAAGTCAACTAAGGGACTATTTACATGAAGGTGGGGGACCCCAGGTAGGTGAGGTAACCCGCTTAGGTGTAGCCTGCGAGCAAGCTCTACAGGGCTCTCTGGCGGCGGGGCGGGAAAAGGAAGAAGAACTTATACAACTACTACGTCTCTGAAATTTGAATTCCTCCTCCAATTCCCCTGTGGCTCTCCGTCGACTGAGCTGTCAGATTTCCGCCAATCAGCGAGAAGCGGAAACGAGCGCGAATGCAAACAAACATTGAAAAACAGTCATCTCGGCCAATCAGCCTTTCGTATCGACTTTTTTGATGCCAATATTCAAATTCCAGAGACGTATTTGCAAGCTCTCCTTCCTTTTCCCGCCCCTCCACCAGAGCGCCCCGGAGGGCTTGTTCCCAGGCTAGCTTAGGTGGGGTAACCCGCCCGTCCATATAATATCTCATTTTAATTTGATCACGTTTAACTGATAGGTGGAGTGAACCCATGCCCGTCCATATAATATCTCATTTTAATTTGATCACGTTTACCTGATAGGTGGAGTTGACCCGCCAACTTTGAAAGCGAAAATCGCGTTTTGCTAGCCAAAGTTGTTTTCATGGCTAACTAGTTGATTTTTTAAAATATTATTCCTCTCGCCCTCATTCGGCCATTCGGCCTTCGGCCTCATGGTCTATTGACGTAGAGCCCATTCTGGCTCGAGGAATAATGGTTCATTAGTCAGAAATCGGGGCCGAACGCGGAACGAGGACTAACGTTGCGATCTGTTAGCTTTCGACTGGCAAGCGACGACTTCTCATCGGAATCCCACTCTGATTCCTTCACTTGAGAAGGCCAGCCTCATATTATCCTTATCTTAAAGGCGCTGACTCAGGAAATTTTCCAAATTCAACTAAAAATAATTCTTAAAATAGCGAAATAACTTTCACAGCAAATATAAAACGGATTGCAAATTTCAGTCTATCTTCGTTGACAATGTCGCTTAGAAGTCATATTTTTTATATGGAATTCGAAGCGCTGACTAAGAAGATATTTGTCCTCCACTGTTAATTTTCTTAGCGAAGTAATTGCAAGTTACAAATAAACAGTATGGACAAAACCTCCGTTAAAAAATACATCAGCGGTTCCCTTACCTTCCCGCTCCATCCTCTTTACTCTTTATGCAGAATTCATGCCTGATCCCTTCATCGCTGAATTCACCCGCCAAATGAAAGCTGTCTGAATGCTGATTTTCCGTCCCGTCATCCTCAGTATCATGAAATCTGTACCCAGTCTTCCACTCGAACCCATCGGCGGCTGGACAACCGTTCACTGGCTTTGGAAGGCCATAGGTCCCAGATGGCCATTTAGACCCTGTTATAACTGAAACAAATAAATAAATAAATAAATAACGATTTGAAGGCAGTACATTCACATAGTGGTTCTTTGTCTACCATTCCTGGTCGAAGTGAAATCAGGTGGAAATGCTAGTTTTTGAGGAGAGGGAAAATCCGGACAACTCGGAGAAAAACCTCTCGGAACAAAGAAGAAAACCAACAGCAAACTCAACCCGCTTATGGCGTTGACACCGGGATTTAAACCCGAGCCACATGCGCCACCCCTACTTCCCTTGTCAGTCTCTCTTCTTATGATGAAAAGCATAATCACGCCCAGTTGTGCAATGTCTATCAATCATAGTTTCCTCCCTCAAGTCTTAGTCATTGAAATAAATTTCAAATCAAATGACCGCGGCAGGCTTTAGTTTTGTTTATCTCTTCTCTGTTTCTTTTTCTCAGTTTTATTGCCATAGATAATTAACTAAATCGAAGGTTGTACATCCGATAACGGCCACTCACCTGATCTCTCATTTAGTGGATTATATGTGTCCATTAATCATTGCCAGGAGCCCATATCCAGGAGCGAACAACTTCCATGCGCTCGTGTTACGGCGTTTTCACGGACCAGTTTATTTTTAGAACGGTTTTGGCGCGAATTTTGACTATCTTTTAAATTTCACAAACCAGTCAGTAAAACCTATAGACGTAAAAATGATATTTTTTGCCTTTTAATGACGTTTAGGTTTCCTTTTTGATATCTTATACTTCGAATGCGCAAATAGACATGGTGGGGATTCATTTTTGCGGGAAATAATGCCCTAAAATGTGTCTAAAAATAAACTGGTCTGTAAAAACACCGTGACATAGGCGTAGTATGGGAGTTGCTCGCTCCGGGGTTATGGACTCCTGGCATTGCAATCTGGATAATCAAAGAGACTTTTAAAACCCTGTAGATGTTTATTCATTTATACTCGACGATGTTTTTTTTTATTGTGAAAGAATTCACTGTTGCCACGGACAAAACTACTCTAACAATGACTTACTTACCTGTTGCAGTCGAGGAAAACGATTTTTTTTGTGACTTGATTCTAGTCTTTAAGTGATTTTCCCCTTCTACGCTCTTTTTGTTTTTATTTCCTTCTTTGCTACCATCACTCAAGAGTTCCTCAAGACTCACATCTCTTTTGCTTTCCTCGACATTCCTTTCCGAGTCAGTTCTTTCAGATTTGATAGCTGTTTCTGAACTTATGACAAAGTCGCTGACCGGTGGAGCATTTGTAGATTCTGGGCTTCTCTCTTGACGTAGACTTGCAACTGTGCCGATAATCCGAATCTCTGTATCCGGTATTCTTTTAATGTAAAAAATTGGCGCTAAAAAATAAGGAAAAGACGTGAGAAAAACTTCACGAACCGGGATTCGAACCCAAAATCTCATCTCAACAACAACAACAACAACAACAACAACAATAAGCTTTGTTTGCATGACCATAACAAAGTATTGCAGTATTGCAAAAGCTACTTGAAATTACTCATTGATTCCTTGTAAAATAAATTAAATATTTAAAATAATTTGAAACTTATTAATCATTGTTTATTTCTAACCATCAGTAGGATTAATTATTCCGGAGATAAGTTTGTCTCTCAATTCAAAGCAAGTTGATATAAATGAAATTAATTGGATGTTAATAAAATAGTCAGTAGAATTCATCAGATGTGATAATAGGGACTCATGTGATTGTAGTCGTAGAAACGGTATTTTAGAGATAAGGCCTTCTACCACCTGAGCTACGGAGAGACTTCGTGTTGAACTGAGTTAGCAATTTACCTACCACGCATTTGACACTCGCCCTCAGATTGTTCTCGGGACAACCCTCTATATAAATTTCTCTTGTTTTGATTTGTTTTTTTGTTTGATATGCGCCAGTTAAAGTGGAGCTTGAGGGGGTGGGAGAGGAAGCCAGTGACCACTCCCCCGTGCTCGCGTCATACTGTCGTGTTACTGCCAGTTTGCATGAAAAATTGGATCGCGATAAACGGTCTATGCTAGAATCAGCAGAGAAGAATAAGTCAAGGTTGGGGACCCTATTTTACACTCCCGTCTAGCTGTCTACTATGAATAGTAGCTACTAAATTAAGTATTATAAATCAGAAGGCAGAGGAAACGAGCCCAGCCTCTTCTATTTCAGTGACGACCGTGAGACTATTTACATGGAGGTGGGGGACCCCAAGTAGGTGATGGCCGTGAATCCGTATATGATGCCGCACCAGAATAACGCCGGAAAAGCATGAATCTGTCGCCTAAGTTAAAGTAAAATTTATGAAACAGCAAGCCTTGTTCTGAAATGATTTGTAAACGTCCGAAACTTACCTAGGTCATATTCCACAAAAGCGCATAGTTCTAGTAGCAGCAAAAATACAAACTTGAGAGCAAAAGTCATCTTTCAGGGATCACTGGGATGATATTCATCTCTGCTACATTTGAGCTGAAAAAAAAAAGATGTTTTGTATTTAATTGCTCTTGATTTGCCATAGAGCTATGTTGTTTTGGGACAACAAAAGAAAAAATATCGCGAAAATTAGTTGTCTTTGCGAATTCATCTTTTCTAAACGAGGAATAGATTAATAACATTTTTGCTGATTTCATTGATGATACTGAAACTAATTCTAATAGCTATCCAGAGCCCCATCTAGACACGCCTTTCAGCCTGGGTCAGGAGGGGATGATTCCCAGTCGCAAGTATATATGGTAAAGGGTGCTTTGGGTTAACTAGAAGATATTGCATTCAAATCGATGACTTCATATGATTTCAGCTAATCGCCATCTTCGACATGCCACATTTGATTATTGTCATGTTTAAAAAGTACAAGAGTGGGGTCAACTTAACGATCGAAGTCAGATGCGCTCGGTCACTTCGAACCTAACCCTGCCTCATTCCTTTACTTTTGACCTGGAAGGAGGTTAACGCAACTTTTGAAAGGCAATATAGTTATTTCGGCCTGTTGTTTAAACACCTTAACCCCATCAACCAAATAAAACCGCTCTTTAATCAAGGAGTCAAGCCGACTCGCATTCTGATCTATTTTCCCTTTCATTTCCACCTCCGCATTTGGAGCTGAGGCGCCGAAAGTATCATTGTGAATTTTTCGGTAAAATTAAGCAAGTGCCAAACAGCTGCTATTTTATTCATTACGATTTTGACCTCCGAATCTCCCGGTTAACAAAACGGCTCTGATTTGCAGTTTGCAGCGAGTCAGCTTGGTTCACCACCAATTCGCTCACGGTAGGCGGGTCCCTTTTGTCGGTGGCCTGGGTACATGAAGGGGCATAAGAAATATTAGCGCCTTGAGAGGAACATAGAAGAAAATGCACAGGCACTGGAAATAGCAGCCAAACCGCACCGGGCGTTTTAGGATCAAATTCCCGACCACGTATCCGCATTGACAGTAAAACATTTCAAAAACTCCAAATATATCAGGAATCGAAATTGTCTGTTTGTGATGAAAAAAATCAAGAAATGCTCGAAATGTTGCCAATAAAACTAAAAAACCGGGCTGACGAATTTTCAAACGAGAGTAGTACGGTACTGCGAGAACAAATTTGTAAATACACTGACAGCATAAGATTCTCTATTGTGACAACTTAAAGCCGTAATCTTAAAGCTCCAGCAAGTTAACTTGTTTTTGGGCCAGAAACGAATGGGAACAAATATATAAATAGGAAAAAAATTGCTACAACTCGGAAAAAGAAAACCTTTTCCCGCTACAGCTGTCTTCAGTGAAACCAAACAGAGAACAAAAGGAGAAATTTTTTTTCTGAAACATTGTTTCCTGCTTAGGGGGTCCTAACACTTTGAAACATCAGAATTCCATTTAACAACGCATTTCATATTGATAAACGGGGGTGTTTAACATGCGGGTGAAAACCCTCTGGCGAAACGGCAAACAATTACCTTATATCTGCTGTAAACAACAGTTCTAGCGCGCGAGTGGGCTTATCAACACTCTAGCGGTAGTTGCAGCTGACTTTGAGAAGAAAAGACACGTACATAGCAACTGTCAAATGCCGATTGTTGTAAATCAGTTTGTGATGTATTTATTTCGAGTAGCTTAAACTGATGTTGAGCAATTTCCTTAACGTGTTCCTCTTTTTCTCTCACTGGCAGTTTCTGTTTTGGTGTGGTAATCACTCACCTGAACAAAAACTTGACGGTTCCTAATTTTGAATGAACTCACGTTGCTTTCGAACTACGCTTAAGCATGGCTTTAGTCTAAAGAATCAGCTATTTCACAGCTTAAATAAGTGTTATAAACAAGGAGAACATTGCTATTTAAAAACCGTAATTTTAGTTAAGATATGAATTATTGGGTGATCACCGTTTTGCCATATAAAAGCTGATCCTAGTCGGGCTATAAATCCGTTACAGACTCAGATTTTTTCAAATACAGATTCGTATGTATCTCATAAGTTTTGCCTCAGGTCCGAATTATCACAGTTTTAAAGAATACGATTAATTACCGACCAAACTCAGCTTAAAATAGCGGTGAAATTTGCAAATTCAAACAAAGCATTATTTTGTGAAAACTATCACCGTTGATGGAACGTAAACTGTCCCTTCCTAAACGTTTATCAACAGCTTAATAAATCCGACAGATTTTTGCTTAATCGATTGTGTGATGCAAACCACTAGACTTTGAAATAACTTCCTTCTTCTCTTACCTTTTAGGGCTTAGGCGCCCGCCATGTTTCTTTTTACAACCTCTTTCTATCAATAAATTAACACGATCCCCTTTCAGTTAGATAATGACCCGCGCTAAATCTAACAACAGACAGGTTCACTCCGATGACGTCAAAGGGTTCCCGCTCTCTTGGTTCCTGCTAACCACTTGTCGAGGGCAACGAATTATTGGACAACAGAGCGATTTCGATATTTCTAAGCGAAGGACAACGTCAAGGGAAGTTAATCACAGATCGTTTTCATGGTTGGCTCGGTTGACACTTTTCTGTAAACGCCATATTCTTTTACAGGTGGGAGTTGGTGGTGAATTGTTAGCAGAATAATAAACTTAACAGAACGATACCACTGTGTATTGTAGCGGGCGCGGATTATAGACGAGCTTTCATTTTTTGGAAGAGACTTGTCAGATTTTTAATAGTAAAAGAAAACTTTGTTTTCTAGGGCTAAGATTAAGATTTTTTCGGTGGCGCACGCCTAGGCTTCCACTAGACCTCGTGACTATGAAAATCGTTTGGTCTGAGAGCAACCATTCGGGTTTCGGGGTACCCCAACAGCTTACTGGCATGCTAGAGTTCGGGTGTAGTGGAAAAAAAAAGGACAAAAAGTCTCAAAATCTTCACCCTGATTCATACGCTACAGACCAGAAAGCTAACAAATTTTACGATTATTGAAGAGTTTCCGTCAATGATCTGCTTTTCAAACAATATTTAGCCGGATGAAATCAATGTCATCTTGGGTTCAATTGTTAAATGCTTCATGTAACGTACTCGAACGTGCACGCCTGGGACTTCTGTTACAAACATAAGTCTTATGCCGGCTTTAATTTTTGATTTAGGATTAATAGCAGCTTTTTACAACACAAACGCCATGGTGAACTCACTCGAAAGTAAGAAGAAGAAGAGACCGGATCAGCGGTTAAATCATCATATCCTTGGCAGATGTTTTTGTGTATATTATCTCTATACTCATAGGTTCCATCCGCACTCTACTACACGCGCAAGTGCTTTGGTTGAGGCGCTGCCCTAGTTTCTTCTGTAACAGATTACATCAATTTTGCGTCGTTTTCTCTGTGCCCTGCCAGTAACTGTGCTTACATTGTGGGTGGCTCCTCCTAAAATGTTCTGTAACTGAAATGGAGTTTAATGTGAAATTGCACTTATTATAGGCGTCCTAATGATGATGGGGGGGGGGGGCAGTCTCAAAAAAACATTTTTGAGCCCCTCGGGCCTCAGTTTGGTCTAAAAATAAGGGCGGGGGGGAGAAGGCCCCCGGGCCCCTCCCCAGGATTCTCCACTGCTGTCCAAACGACATGCATTTTTGTCTTCGAAATTGACCATTTTACTCTCTTCGAATGTAGCAGGTGGAAGGCGCGGGAAATTAACGTGACTGGTTTTTCTTAGGACTAGCTCAGAAAGTAACGCGAAGCTAATCTCATACACAGATCTCCCTCGGCGAGATCGAGTACTAGATTATCACCAACTTGCTCTAGACTGGAGTTCAAAGGATCGCTTAACTTCTTCTCCCCTACAAAACCTACAATTGTGCCACTGATTGCGAAGTAGATTACGTAGTGAACTCCTCTTAAAGTAGAAAACGTTATGGTCACCCCATGTTGTGACACAACAGTGTCCGACTGGTTCTGACAAAACTTTACCCACTTGATTTGGTGTAGATCCCTTTAAGGTAGGCAGAAGGCGGAGATCTATGAGTGTCTAGCTTAGGTAGACTATATATCCCGCATTGTATGTCCCAATAATTTAGAGATGATTAAAGGGAACGTAGTTTTTCAGTGCACGACTGTAGTTTGTGTTTTTTCCATCATAATGATTCCTCCAACTAATAGACTGTTGGCAGAGGCCACTTGCAGAGAACAATAGAAAACTGGTGTTCGCATCGAATCAGTGAATCGCGAAAAAGACACAAGTGAGATAATGCTCTCGCCCCATAAAAAATCGGCTACATGGAGAGAAAAGATACTGTAATCTGGCCAAACTAATTTTAAACAGAAGGTATTCTGTGTAAATGTTGTGCTGCAAGATTTGTGAGTAACTACTCATGCTTTGGATCAAGAGTATATTTACACTTTGAGGTAAGGCTTTTGTTTAGCCTTCATTTTTTTTGAAAGAGTCCTTTGCATAGGCTAATCTGTTCTTTTCTGCTCTTCTAAGTTCCACTTTTATTTCAATCCATGACTTGAAATCCGGTCTCATAGGTCTTCAGTTAGTGAGGCTTTCCAAATATGTTTACCTGCTTCATAAATCTTATGATAACTCGACAGAATGCAGCGAGTTTCGACTAATAATTTTGACGTAGAGGGTTTCAGAAAAAAGATCTTCAAACGCATTTTTCGTTCGATAATTTTGTTTATAAACGATTATGGATCGAGAGAGGAAATGAAACAGTAATGAACGAAATCCCGCGTTTTTTTTCCTGCGAGATTTATGTATAACGAGACATTACCTAATCGGCAGGTACATCTTGTGAAACTCGGTCACTTAAAAAATAGAATCTCAGTTTCCAATTTGGATATCGATCCTTATATATTTATCTTATTGATATACGTCTCAACTTTCTTTTTGTCGATTGTGAAACAACAGCTTGATTATTGATGTGTTGAACAGGAAAATGAAGAGCTTAAAGGCGATCAAAGGCGTCGAGTGAAGTCAAGATATAGGGACACAACAAATTCTGCCATGTTTTGGTTATCGTTGATTTTAACACTGGTGGTCTTCTGGTGTCACTCTGCAAAAGGTAAATTTCTTCTGATTTTCAGCGGCGCGAATTATTCATTAGTCTTCCAAGTTAACGCTTTTTTGACTAAATTAAAGACCTACACCATTTTCCTGGGTTTACAGATAATTATTCAATGTGTTATGCGCAGTAGTTCGTATGTTTAATAATCTCTTCATGGTGTTTCTTGCCCAATTCTCTTAGAAAAAGAGAGGTCACTGAAATGGACAAAAATACCGATCATCAGTGATAGCTATAATTATCATTATAATAAATGAGCAGTTTGAATATGAGTGAATGAATCCGGTGCGTTTGTTAAAACAGAAAATCAAATCAGTGATAGCTCGACTACCATAATTAAATCATTATAACAAATGAGCAGTTTGAATAAAATGTTATTTGTAATGTAGAATGAAACTGGTCATTTACCCGTAACGATTTTCATGTTTTTAATCACAGCAGCCAAATAAATCATATGACCGTTCCCTTTGGCTACCTGCGGCTGTTTTTCGAAATATTCCAAACGTTTTTCTTACAAGGGAGAATGCGAATCTTAGAGACTTGAAAATAGTAAGATAATGGAAACAATCGTTTCCACTTGTACTAGGGATAGATTTAGAATTTTACAACCGTCTGTACCTTTACATTTCATCTGATTTATCACGGTCAATTCAATCTTTTTTATGGTGCTTAATCCTTTAAATCTCAAGAGCGATCAACAACAATTTTCTCCTTACGATAACAATAAATAATCAAGAGAAAACGTGACGAGAATTGAATAAAGTGATCACTAAGGGGAAAATACTTTGATCTCAAATATTTCTTTAAGGAAATCTATGGAGATCAGCCTAGAGGATTTGTACTGATTTCAACGAATATTAGGCCGTGTTTGGGGGGAGGGGGAACTCCCATATAAAAGTGAAAGGGATGCTCGTGGAATCACTTTGGAATGTAAATTGTAGATTTTGGTCTCACTTAGGGTCTTTGGGATGGAAAGTCACTAAATTTGCCCATTCAGGTATCGCTTAGTGCTGTGCATAAAGAAATTTACAAAAAATGCTATGACACAGTGACACTGAGCACACAGAAATCTCTCTTAGGGGTCAGTTTAAGCTTGAGCCACACCCACATTGGCCTTCCTTGGAGGTTTATTTTGAATTTGCCGACGAGCATTCCCGTCACTTTTATATCGGAGTCCCCCGCCCCCGGGGGCCGTGCTTGGATGCATATAAGGGGCTTTAAGACTGTTAAAAGTGAATTTTTGTATGCCAAAGAGTTTCAACAATTTCTTGTTCAGATGCCAGACTTTCCCTTAGTGGGGAAATTAAATAAAAAATCATGTTTAAATGAACAGACATGCATTTTAGTCAACCGTATGGGTGTTATGCAATTTCAGCGTGTGAATCCCCAGGTAAAAGCTGTTCTTTTGACCGGAGCTCAGGTCTGGAAAGGTATTTTCGGGATTAGGGATTTGACCCAAATACGGTGCGGGACTCTGGACAACGCGAGCTATATCATATGTTAACTGATAAAGGGACTTTACAGATACCTGGGAAGCGGGATTCGCCAAAATTCAAGCGCGGGATGCGGGATTTTTTTTACCTGAATGTTGGGAATTCGGGGGAGCGTACGTTTGAGCGGCAAATGCGAATCACCCAGTAGCGCGTTAAGTGTGCCTTGCTAGATTTTTTTTATGTTATTGTTTTTCGTAACAAAAGAGGAATTCGGGATTTTGGCGGGAAAAAGAAGCTGTAATGCGGGATCAGGGCCCCCCTCCAGATTGATTACTTGCATAAATAATCCTTGCTAAATATCGCAATGTTAAGATTGTGATACGACGACAAAAATAGACTGCGCATGGAATAAGTTGCTTTAAAAACGTGTTGTAAGTTTCCATGAATAAAACTATCTGTCGCTACTAATTATAAATGAATTTTTTTTTACACCAACAGGAAAAGCTGGCCTTTGGCCTACCGGCCAATATGGCCTTCCTATGCCTAAGGCTGGATGTCCGAATAACTGGTTTGATGGCCGACGATTTCGCGATGTCGACAGCGGCAATCTCATAGACCGTAAGATATACGACTCCCTTCATTTGGCTGGCTGGATCAGCAGGGAAGGTACAACTGTAATTGATTCTCCTCGACTAACACTATGTTTTAGTCTGTTTTTATTATAAAACCCACTAAACCATCTCTTTTAATAGTTTAAAAACTATCCATAACAAGGACGCTGTAAAAATATTGTGAGAAACGTAATGCCTCAATAAAGTACGAAACAGGATTTCATCGATCCGCTATAATATTTTCACCTCCGACTAAGCGTGTATAAATAGACGAAAATCAAGGGTCATTCGGGAAAAATTACATCATTGCCAAAAAGCCATACTAGAACGTGATCAACTACGCGCATCACCTCAATCATCGCCGAAAATAAACCACATGCTCATCACGATCCTCATTTGCATACAATGAAAGTCGTCACCATTCTTATTCCCAGTTTCCACGGTCCCAGGCGTTCCGCTAGGAATGCCTGGGCCCACAACCGTCGTATTGTGTACTAAATATGAAGAAAAAAAATAAAAAACGGCTTGCAGATTATGTGTCTCGCTGATTACGAAATCGAGACTTATTATCCTCTTCAATCTTCAAGTAAGCAAAGAACTTGTCTTGATAAAAATTTACAAGCCAAATACTTGATTAATAAAAATCAAATGCTTTAGCCTCTCATTCGATCACACCCGTGTTATGGGTACTTGTTACCCATGCACTTAAGTTGTGTTCTATTACAAAACTCACCCAATCACCGAAAGGAGTAAGAAATACTCTAAAGGTTCTGTTAAGCCCCTCCTCTATATTAGACCCATCTATAATACTCCTGCCCCCCCCCCCACTTCCCCCTGCCCCAATCCCAGGAGACAGGAGATTTTATAATTGGTCCTTTTTTCCCTTATTACGAATTCCACTTCATACGGACCAGTTAGTTTTTCATAGCTTGTTTGTCATACAGTGAAACCTCGATAGTAACGAACCTCTATATAACGACGTCCTCGGTTTTCTTTCACTAATAATAGTAAATGTGTGAAAAAGAATCTCGATATGGCGAAGCCTTGTTATAGCGAAAAAATTTTGCCAGTTCCTTGGCCCTTCGTTACATCAAGGTTGCAGTGTAGTTTCATATCAAATAAAAACCCAGTCCTTCCTTAAATCGGGATGAGCAGGCCAGAAAAATGAAAACATATATTAGGTAGATAAATTATAATAGTGGAATGAATAGTTAAAAAAAATAAAAATAAAACGGCACGGTTTTTTCCTTGCTGTAACTTTCGATGGCGGAGAAAGGAAACAATTTTCTTGTTTACAGGTGAAACTTTTGAAACATAAACTTGGACAATTTTTTTCCAAAGGCATTGAACAAGATTTCTGTATTAAGACAAGCAAAGATGTATCTTATAACTGGCCAGAAGGAAAATATTGCATTTTAAAGCACGATGCCTGTCCTTATGGACTATCCGGTGGGTAAGTAAACCTTGTTGGTGACTGCTGACATTTTAATTCTCCACATGTACAGTATCGCGGTTACATAATAATTATTCGGTGAGGTATGCATCTGAGAATATCAAAAATATATAATAATAATCTAGTTACCCAACAGCATTGACATTAACTTTTAATAGGAAAGACTATCCTTTATTGAGAGGCACTGTCTAGTAAACAATTTTTAATTCACTCATATTTCTTTATATATTTGCAGGTCGGTTAGCTGGCTTCCAATGCGTTCCAAGTTTCAAGACGCAACTGTGAATGGAAAACAATTAAAAAACGTAACGATAAGCTATTGTTGTAGCTCCAAAGGTAAGGCACGATCAAGTCCCTTAAGAAGCGTCACCTTTTTAGTATAGGCCATCCGAATAAAATGTTTCGTTTCCCATCGCCCGACCGACCCATTTTTTTCGAAAAGTAAAAAAAAAAAAAACCAGATTCACTAGTCAAAGAAGCAAGTACTTTGATTTACAAGCACTCGATCTTGTTGTAACAACAATTGCAGTATGATGTGATGTCCTTGTCTTAAATTTACATCGATACTACGTTTTTAAAGGCTGTTTAGACATTAATCTTTTACCATCTGATTATCTATCTTACAGATTAAACGTGAGATTTAATATAATATGCAATAGTAAACTGGTAAACAAAGTGTTCATTCCTTTTTTTTTTTGCCCGACCGACCGACCCACCATCACAAGAGACGGGGCGAGGGGAAACGAAACATTTTATTGGCATGGCCATATGAAAAAGCAATAAAACAACGTCTCCTTCATCTATTTACTAGGTGACACTAGCCATTCCATGACATTGCCACTTGAAAAACCTTTCTACTTGTACTCTCTCAACGGCGCAAAGTGTCAGATCGTCAAAGGAGCAACATTGAAGGAGGAGAGCGTAAATTTCGATAAAAAAGATAGAAGATATCATATAACCGTTCAGGGGGAAATTCCATTTGGCCCGGTGAAGGATGGTTCCCAGATGAAATTAACCTATTGCTACTATACTCCTGGTAAGGTTTTACTCTGACTTTTCAATTACGCCCTTTCGGGAACCAGTTTAAAACAAAATTTATTTAAAGCAAAACATCCCCATCAAAGATCCAACTTCCATCTTCAAAGGCAACACGTATCGTGGAGAGTGGACCCCGATCTCTCTGTCTTCTGCTTTGTACTTCCCACTGATGACAAGGCTTGAGTGGCCTCTTCAAAGTGCAAGCCCGGCCTTCTGATATGGAATCTGATCATTAAAATTATCTCAAAAACAAAGTGCCTTCTTTAGTCGACCTTGACGGCAAGCAAGGAATTTGACTAGGCTGCACAGGCATCGGGAGAGATAGCGAAGTGCTAAGAGGTCTTCACCGCCCCCCTTAGGGTTATTTTTCTAGCCTTTGTTCCTTCCAGAACACGCATAATGCAGCGAAGCCATTTAATCCGGGGCTAGGGATCCTGTTGACGGGCATCATGGCGTGTCCACGCTCCATTCTGGCAATTTTTACTGTTTCGACTTTTGAAGGTTCAAAACGAGAACGTTAGGCGCACCACGGTTGTGTGACCCTACGAGTGGGTGCCACATGACATATAGAAGGCCTGCTGAATTGAAAGCCTTTATTGATGAAGAGAATTGAAGCTTACGTTCTATTCCCTCCTTGCTGTCTTGCAAGTAGCATAGTTTGTCAGCGTTGAAACTAAAGGCCAGAGGAGACAAACAGGTACAACGCCAAAACACTTCGTCTCAAACAGCTAATTGGCTCACATAAGAAACACAGAAAATATCAATTATCTCCCTAAGATCTAAAAGAAGGCGGTCGTCATTGATGTACATGGCAGGATTTACAGTTCATGATCTAAGGCACACAATTAAATTCTGAAAATACTTGTGAGAAAATAAAACTAGACTGGTTTCCAGTTTCAGTTTCGGCAACTGAGGAGCGAACAAAAGACCTCGCCCAGCTTAACGCCACACATCCTGCAAGTTGCTTCGCGGTATGTTAAATGGTGGGCTCCGACGAAGATTTCAGAAAACGCCATCTTAAGGCGTGGCCACACGCATCCGGATACTTTCGAAACGGAGATTTTTTCCTCCGTTTTGCAAAAAAATACACGTCCACACGTAGCGTATTCGAATCATTTTCGTCCGTCCATACGAAAACGCTGAACAGAGCATGCGGAATGCTAGTAGTAAATGATGTATTCACAATCAGCACATCATTGTATTAGAAAACCTCTGTTTTCGTCCGTCCACACGTGAACGAGTGGCCAGGGTTTTCAAAAATCTTCACTCTGGAGAGCGTTTTTGAAAAGATGCGTTTTCGGTGACCGAAAACGTGTGGCCCATCAGAAGGAAAAACCTCCGTTTTCAAACAAAAACGGATACATGTGGACGGGGCGTTAGTCTGTGTAGAAATTTAAAACTGTGCCAGAAATAAAATTCAAATTCGCTAAATGGCCTCCGTCATGCAGGCGGCGTTAAGTATTGTATAGTATTGCTACCGAGGTCAAACATTTTTTTGAAACCCATTTATTATTTCAGGTTGGCATGCACAAGACAATGCACTTAAACAAAACGCCACTACTGGTAATCTAGTCTATAACTACCGTATTCGGTGCACGTCTTCAGTTGGGTTATTTAATGGGTATTAGTGTGGTCCTGCTATTCTGTGGTATCCGTTATCATGTTCAACTTTTACGAAACGTTTTCTTCCGTTTTAGGTGGATCTATAACAATTCCAGCAAGTCAAGAAGTTGAGAAAACTCTTTTTACAGGAGTAAGTAAAGTTCTTAAAATCTCGCACTATAGACATTTTCCAGGTTATTCTGAATAAACCTCAACTCAGGGCTTGGGTTGACATAATCCGATGGAATTACACAGCCAAGTTAATGATGTTTATGACTAACGGTTGAAAATTTCCATTTTTACCCCTTACGACGAAGATTTGAGTTTTTTTCGGCTATACACTGTTCAGCCTTCGTGGCGAGAGTGTCAAAAGGGGAAGGGAGAATTCGGGACAGCGAGGTTGGAAACTTCCCCTTCCACTTGCGGGGAATTCCGCCTGCGGCTTCCCGTTAGCCTTGTGCTGAAGCCGAGTCAGGGAGGGATGGACTTCGTTAACTTGGCCAAGAACATAATTTCAGCCGCACGTGAACCATGTTCGCCTTGCAGTACATGTTCAGGCGTGAGGCACCCCCGTGGCATAGCGTCATGTGCCGAGGCAAAAACGCCTACACGCAGGCTAGAAACGGCTGAAACCATGGAAACTCTCAGTTAGGGATTCTAGTCTAACATTCAAGAAAGTGATAACTTCACGATCATTTGTTTTCTCTCCAGACTCAACTTGACAACAAGACTCAGTCCTCCGGCCTGGCAGTTGCTATCGGTATTGGAGTAGCATGCGCAATGATTGGTACCGCATCTATTGCCTTGGTAACAAAGAGGCTCATACGAAAAAAGAGCGACGAAGATGATGACGACGATGAACCGAAACCTGACGATCCTTAAATTGTATTAAAACTGATTTTGGTCCTGAGAAAAAGCTTCATTAACCCTTTCACTGCTAGCAAAATTCGACAAAAATTTCCGAATTCCATTTGGTAAAATTTTTAAAAACAGGCTCATGTGAAAGTACAGGCAGAGACGTTTCATTTGAATGGTACAACATGATAGGATTTCGTCCACACTCGACTCTTAAGGAAGAGTTACCTTACAAAACTCCATCGTTCACTTTGGCAGTGAAAGGGTTAACAATCCAGAACTGTGAACTGAACTGAAGAATGTGTCTCCCAAAAAAATTTTGGCCGTTTTGGTTTTTCCTTGAAATTTAACGAATAAAGGATCAAAGAAAGGCTGAAAGGATTTTTTCGGTTCTGATGGAAAATTCTTGTGGAATTAAGCGATGTATTTTTGAACAAATGAAATGAAAAGTTTTCGCCAACGACAATCCTTCACATTTGCCGCCATCTTGTTAAAAAAATTAATATTTTGCATTTTTGCAAACCGTCCTACGTCAAACTTGTCATTTTTGGAGGGAAATTTGCTTGTTTTAACGAAGAAAGAAAGGTTTTGCAAGATTTTTTACGAAATGAAATTTCGGTTACATGTTTACACATACTTAAGAGTTAAAAACGACTTAAAAAACAAAAATTCGTGTCATATTCACTTTACGCTTTTTGGTACAAAGTTCCTTTAGTTTTGAAAGCGGGAAGACGAAACAGGAGATAGTAATTTAATTTCACCTGAGGAAATTACATTAAGGTATGTATGCCCACAGAGGTCAATGAAGCGGGAGTTCTTTTTTCTGAGGCCCAGTTTATCAAACATTTAATAAATTACGTTAATTTGTGTCGTTTTCATCAGTAATTTAATGGTTGCATTAGTTACAGAATTTGCTGTTATGAGTTGGTGGAGATTAAATAGATGAATATCTGAAAACTATTGACCGTTTAGGAACACCAGAATAATTACTTAAGCTATGAGGTTTTTTTTCGCATGGTTTTGATTACGTTTCTACGAAACTAAGATGGCCCCTTAACTTTGTTCTAAAAGCGTTTTGAGTTTAGCGGGAGCCGTTCCCTGTAAACTTGAAGTTTACAGTCATTTAGTTTCTTTTTGTTTTGATAAAAGTCAGCTCTTCTTCATCACAGAGTAGTTGTTGTAAAAATTGATGCCAGTTTTTAGTCGTCTTGTCTACGGGGAACCGGGGAGCGGGAAACGAGCTCGGGAAAAGGACAAAAATGAAACATGGGAACAACAGCTAACTTGTTCTGTATTCCTATCAGTAAAATCATTTCCAATTCTTAACTTAAGTTTGTTCTCATTTTTCATTTTTCCGTTCCCGTTTTATGCAAAATAATTTCTAGTTCTCGATTTACTTACTGGGTCAGTCTGAAATATTTTGGACTATCCGTTTAGAATTAGTTTATTTTATTTTTTTAAGGAACTCATTTTCAGAGATAGTAAGCTCTCTTGACTTTAAATAATGTGGAAAAAATAGCATTACAGTAAATACTGCGACGAAAACAGTTAACTATAGTTTATTTTCCATGTATATCAGTTAAACCGACATGCAGTCAGCCGCGAAGGTCCTGTTGTATGACGTTCGTTCTTGTTAGTTGTTATGGTAAACGTTAAGGCAATGAAAATTGTACTACATGCATTGATTAAATTATCATTTATTCTGAGAAAAAAAAGATGACTGTTCTCTTAATTGTCTGTGGGCCTTTTCGTTTCGCGGTGCTTGTCATCAACTAGTTTAATTTAATGACGCAAGACCGCCTGTATAAGGCGGCTATCGACTAAGACAACAATTTTGTATACGTTCTTTTTCGTTGACTTTGGCCAGACAACGGTTCGAACTATCCTTGGGTTAAACAAATTTACAGCGGATTATTGTTATAGATGTCAAATCTTAGATATCCTTCTAAAAATACAATTCAAGTGTCTTGCCTTTTAATTAAATGAGATGAACGATGGAACAAATGGTCTCCATGGTTACAAGACAGTCAAAATGAATAAAGAGCTAATTAGAAAACGGACTACAGTATAGTGTAGAGCCTTCTTAATAATTTTACGGTCGAAATTAACGTCCAGCTGTGTTCTTTAATAGTCGTTATGATCTCTGCCTGCATGCTACTCAAAATGAAATCAAATAAAAACTACATGGTGTAAAGCAAAGCAAATTCGCTTACGAAACGCTTTTATAATACTCAACCATGAGCCATCTCTTTAATAGAGTAATAAAATTTCTCTTTAACTGTGTAGCTCATGACGTAATAGACATTTCTCCTGATGGAGATTAACTAAATATTCTTCAGTATTCGGCAGTTGTTGCTATTATCATAAAATTCTGTTGATGCTACCGAGACCTTGATCTTTCATGGGATTAACTATAAGTTTTAGTAATCTACGGTAGTCGTTAATTACCTCCTAAATGAAATTTATATCTCAAATTTGCATGTTACTGCCGTCATAAGCTCTTATGAAGATTTTTAAAGTATATTTTGTAACATTTTACAGCTTTTATCTTTCCTTTGAACATTCTTCTTGGAGTCTATAATTTAGGGAAAAGGTTGATTTTAATCTTAAAAAAATTTTTAAGAAGTAGTTGTTGTTTCGGTAACGAGGTCGCCCTCCAGATCGCACAAATTTATTTGTTTTTTTTTTTGTTTACAATATATAATACTAACGCTAACATAGTTAATATTGATCAGCACCGCACCATTTTATAATCTTATAGCTGAGGTGGAATGGTAATTGCAGAACAAATAATGTTTCTAGGATATTTAGTACCAATTCAAATACACAGATTTATTCCCTCGATGTAATAGAAATAACAAAATAGGTTTGAATATTACGTGGTATTTTTTAACGACTATCGTTCACTTTCATTCACCAATTTTTTTCAATTATTTTATATACGTTCTTACTGTCTTAGATTTTGAAAAGAAGATCATTTTTGTTTCATGAATACCAGGTGTCTGGTATAATTCATGTATTCTAGTTTTACTTATCATCACGAAGATATGCCATTTATTTCTCCTTTATATTCCTTTCATTATATCTATCCTCTATGTTTCCGATGGTTGCCTTCCAGACCAAGTTCGTTTCCTTTTTTCTGATAAGAGGGAAATCCTTTGACTCGAGATAGAATATCTTACGTTTATCCCGATTCGGTCTTCTCCCTTACAACCCAGGCAAAAAATGGTTCTTAGATTAGAAATAAATCCCCGCCGAAACTGCGAATTAAAAGCATAATAAACAAAAGCATTCATGGCACAGTTTGACTGAGCCAGAAATTTCGCGATGATGCGAAATGTCTCGGCTTTGCATTTCCCTATGCTTTGTGTGATCAGAAGCAATGCGAGAATGACCAACGGTGAAAAACATAAAAAGAAGATCACCACAACAGTAACAGCCATTCTGAGGACGTTCTTATTTTGTCTTGCACGCCTGTTTTGCTGTTTCTGGGTGATGGAGTTTCTGGCTCCGGGCGGCAGTTTCTGGCGAAATAATTTGTAAACAATCCCCGCGTACAAAACTATGATTGTAATCAACGGGAATCCAAACACCAAACTAAGAATTAAGACAAAGTAGATAAATTTGCTTTTAGATGACATGGTCCACCTCTGAACGCAATATAAATCTCCGTGGGTCATGTGCAGTTGAAACACTTGAAGATATGGTGCATGGAGAGCCATTGCTGTGAACCATGTAATGGGAATGACATATCTGATCTTTGACTTCATTGCTGCAGCCTTTAATGGAAACTTCACGGCGTAAAATCTTTCCGCTGTTATAGCAAGAAGACTCTGTACGGAAACCGCAGTGGACACGTCTTGTAGAAAATAGGCTAGTTTGCACAGCACAAGACCCCCTGTCCCCGCAATCAACCACCTCTCCTTTCCTACCAGTACCTCGACAATCATCCTGGGTACCGCGAAAAATGGCAGAAGAAGATCTGACGCGGCCATGTTGACGATGAGGTAGTTAGAAGTGGTCCACATACGCTGGTTCCGGTACACTACCAGAATGATCATAGAGTTTCCAAACAACGAGAGTAGAAGTACTATACAGTAGGCCGTAGTATGAACACTTTTTAATGTCGTTTCGTCACCAATCGACGAGCACGAATCACTTTTGGTGGTTAAGGTGGAGGTAGATGAATTTCCTGAAGATGAGTTAGCCAAAAACATTGCGTGTTTCTTCCTTTGTTGCAATGGTCAAGCGAACCACTAAAATATAACTTTTTTGTGAATTACGTACCCTTTCCTTTCCAGTCAGAGCTACAACAACTTGACAGGCAAATTGTTCAATTTAGGGTTAAGAAAAGTCACAGATAAACGCAGGTATTAATCGGCCATGAAAGAGTCAATCAGTGACTGATGCGTCAGGTCTTGAGGCCAAGAACCAGATCAGTGGTTTGACACCCTCATCGAATATATAATCCATATTAACAGTTAAGAAATTTGCATTTCTCTCAATCCTCATTAAAACGCTTAGTAGGGAATTAATTAGTAATCCTAGAAAGCACCTTTTAATCTTCTCACGAATGGAAGGTTGGAAATAAATTTGTCTTTTGATGGATCTTGATGAAATACACACACAATTAACAAAGAAAGCATTATCTCACCTTGGCTTTTCTAGAAATAAAACAGGAAACTCTTAAATAGTAGCCATCAGAAGCTTGTCTCTTGTGTATTATTTTTCATCTCCAAAATAAACTCTTATAAGGACTTGCACTTAAGCAACTTCGTCATCATCACTTTTTTCCGTATAGAGAATTTGGAATAAATCATTAATAGTATGGTATTAAATATATGTTTTCACTGTTCAAAGTAAGTCTTAAACATTTCATAAAAACAGGCAAGTAACACGCAATACTTGTGACATTTTAATTTTGAACATTTTGTTTTTTCAACACTGAAAACTCCTATCCACTGTTAATATCTACCTATGAAACGTTCGTCCATAAACTTCACAATATTTTGTTATAGGGCTTCTAAGACAATATTATTTTATTGCCGTTTTATTAAAAAATAAGAGGTTATAAATCGTTGTTTACAAAGGCAAGAA